TTTTTTTTAGCTTAAAAGAATGATTCTTAGGATTGACATACAGCTCAAATAAGAAAACCAGCTCTATTGGATTATCATTTTTTATTGAATTAACGCAACTTTTTGTGAAATTCTCATTTTTCTCATTCTGGCATTTTCTAAGTATGAACTTGAACTCTCATGGGCCTGCTTTTACTTTCATCGGTATTACCTGTTTTGCATAATTTAAATTTGATGTTGACTTTGCAGTTAAGCGTAATATATTATTGCATCAGAATTGACAGCATCCTATTTTGTGCATTATTACTTTGTGCTTTTCTTAAGATGTGACTTATGGGCCTGAAAGACCTTTGAGAGGGTCAGTCTGTAAATTTCCCTTGGGTATCACTAAGCTAAGTTCAGAGTTATAAAGTCATTTGCCTAATTAATAGGTTATTAAATGAGATTACATAAAGCACAGTTGTTGATATTTCCCTGTAAACTCCCAAAGATTAAGCCAGTCTGCTAGATTAATAATAAGGAAGCAGTGATAATTATGCAGGTAAATTTTGCAATATCTCTGGGTCCACTCCTGTCATTGACCATGTTACCTGTTGTGCATGATTAAAATTCAGTGTTGACTGACAGTGCTATTATAAACATTATTTATTTTTGCATCAAAATTGACAAAATGACCTATTTTGCATCTTTATTTTCTGTTTTTTTGTCTGTACATCTGACAGCTTTGCTGCTTTGTCTAATAAGCTGTTTATTGTATAGGTTTGCTGACATGGTAGGGAGTGGTCGGAGTAAAGCCGTATTGGCCACCGGATAAAAGTCTACGCGTTATTGCCAGAATCGGTCTTGAAAATAAAAACTATTGTTGTCTTGACCCCCCCCCCCCTTTCGATTTCTGGTCCCTCTTGAATTCAGAATTTCAACTAGATGAATCAAAGTTCTAAACCGTCCCAAATGGTTTCGTTCGCCCTCTAAAATACCAAAATCTTTCGGGGCCCTTCAGCGGGTCCTGAACCCCACGCCAATTTTTTTTTTTTTTTTTTGGGGGGGGGGGGGAAGACTTCACATCTGCGGATCCCCCCTTCAAATAATTCTGGATATCCCCCTGTATTTGGTAGATGTTAACCTTTTCGTATTAGGTTTAAAATACATCGTCCAAATAATGCGCAGGAAAAATCAAGATTCATAGAAGAAAATTGCCCCGTTGTGATCCCTTATGTTGAGGAATTCCCAGAACAGAAACAATGGGTCTTAGAATATACATGTATATTTACAGTGTGTATTTAAACTTATACCTTCATTATAACACCCTTTCACTAATTGCACAAATTTTTCTTTGTGAACAAAATTTAAACAAAAAGTTAAAGCTTATATTACAACCAAGGTAAATCATGCTATTTATACTGCCCGGATAGGTGAAGTAATTTTTTTCTGTGGTTTCTCACGTGGTTCCCAAGCTTCCGAGAGAGTCTAATTGACAATCGTTCTGTATTTTAAAGAGGTGCTGAAATTTATTTAGAAATTATCTTAATTTCGTTGCATCAATTTTCTTGCTTCGTCTTTTCCAGTTATGACAAAGAATTTCATTTCATTTCCTCATCTTATTTAACGTATTCACCAGAAGTGTTCATCTCAACACTACGCGTGAACGTCACAAGTCAAACGAAGACGTCATTCACTTGTGACGTCATGAGAGAGGCTTATGACATCACGACGTTAGCTACTTTGTACATAACAACACATTTTTGGTACTTCCAGACAACAGGAGGATGTGAGGCACTAATGATGCTTGGTACAACAACAGTCCTTCTGTATGTTATCACAAACTACCTTAAATCAGGTAAGAATAGGGGTAAGTTTTCTTACAATAGTTTGCTTTCTATAGAGATACAAATTAGAATATATAACCGTCATTTTAATATTTTTGCCAATAGAACATTTGAAATCTTGCAAAATTTATATAAACGGTTTGTTTAGTTTTGGAAGTCAGATTTTTTAAAAATTCTTTTATGATTCTGAGTATAGTTAAACCTATTGAAATATTTGTGCCGTTGCTGTCGATTTCAGGAATATCCAAAGCTCAAAATTTATCCCTTCATAAATGGATTTATTTGTCAGCACACGCGAAGGGCGAAGAGGAAATTATGCTTTTCCAAGGTATTTATTATTCTGATGCATTAAACACATGCTAAAACGGGGGAGGGGAGGCATGTTTCAATGAGCGCTAAATAGCTTAAGTCCTATAACCTATATTTGTAAAAGCGTCATTATCTGTCAATTATCTCACCAGTTGCAGAAACTGGAGTGAAAGACATACCAAGCGTAGCAGAGCAACAAAAAATGCACGGAGGCGGAGACGAGGTAAAACCGATGACCAAACAAATGGCAATTAGACAAAGGGCCCATAAAATAAAATAGTGATATAAGTCAAATTAGTTGTGTACCTTCATCCCTAAATGTTGTTTGTAGTAGAATTAGCTGTGTGTTTCCAATCCCTTGTTGTTTGTAACCTTGAATCATTTTCAGACGTATGTGGCAATGCTAGGTAACGATTTCCCTCCTGGTCCCACCAAAAGCAATCAAAGAAAGCGAAGACGAGCCCGCATGAAAGCCATAGAGAAGGACATTCTGGAAGCTGCTGAGGGATGGATTGCTTGTTAGACATTTTCTTTCGATTTTTTCAAGTAACGGTTTCTAGAAAGTCAGATTTAAGTGTTGCAATCTTCGGTAAAGATGTAACTTTTCGGCGTAATAGTTGAGTGTCGCGACAGATGTTCCCAGCAAGCACCACTGAGCCCCAAGTCCTCATTAGAAGAGACTAATGGGTGTTAAGAGAAGACAAGTGGTCACGTTAAGGATTAAATTCATATGCAAAAGTTGGATGATTTTAATGCCTACGGAAAAACTGAATTTCAGTTTTCTGTGATTTATGTTTTGTGTTCCATGTTTTTAATTTTAAAAAGATGTTGTGAACAAAGGTCGCCATATGAATTAAGGTTCCCAGGACTGGCATACGTCTTCTGATTATAATACCTTAAAGCAATTGTATACAGAATATAAACTTTTTATAGAAAATTAACAATTAAAAGAAAAATAACAATTTTATACCTAAACTTGTTTGATTTATTCTCCGAGCATTAAGCAGGCCTAAACATATTATAACAAGACAAGTTTTACTTTTCACCGAAAGTGGTATAAGGTTGCCTTCATCTCACATCAAACACCTTGGATTTCCAGGCTAAACATGATCGTTAAAAGTTAAGGTACTATCCACTGCGCGTCCTCTGTGCCAGTTAATGGTATGTCACTCTTGCAACAACACTGAATCCCATAGTAGCTTGTACGTTTATTCATTCACTTAGTACTCCAGCCCATCTGAAATCTCGCTCTGAAACACCGGGTATCACGGACGTCAATCTTTAAAATACACTGGCGCCTTAAAATACATTTTGATTTGAAGTATGTACAAAACGGTCCAGACATCGGTGCTGTTCTTCTGACTGTTGTGGAAAGTCACTTCTGTGTTTATCATTCTGTGCACGTCGGCGGGTTGACGTAACCAAAAACGTTGAATTCTATCATTATGGCAAAGGTGAGAAAAAGACAGTAAACGCAGATGCAGATAATCCCTAGTTTCTTGTTGAGCACCCATCCTACAAAGTGTATAGCTGCTATCTGTAAGCAGAATGATTAATTCTATGAATGTTATTGAAAAAGACTGGATCGGATTTATCTAAAGGCATTATAGAAATAATGATAAAATTAAAAGGATAGTTCCAACAAATAGAAGAAGAAGAATTGTTAAGAAGTCCACAATCATGCAAGACTAAAGACGCTAAGGTTATACGTATTTTCTACCTATTAGAAATCGGTAAAACTACTCAGGCGGTATCGTGAGTGGTTATTCCTATGATCAATTTGTACAAAAGCTATGATTCGATATTTGTGCATTTGTTCTGTATCTTGCTGCTTATTGTGCAACCTACCGTAACTATAACAGTGAGGAATAGCAGCACTACTGCAAACACCAGGCCGTTGCTGTTGATGTGTACCTAAAAAAGTCAAAACACGTTCAAACTCCCGTCTCATTCCCATGGTGTTTCAAAAATAAAACGTATCTAGGATAATTCTCAATTCATAAAAACGTGAAAATACTTTTCTGTCTCTTATCAAAGCAGCTGGGTTTACATCAAATATATCTGGCACTTCCCCAGTCGACCAAACACAATTACAAAACAGCAGAACTGTGTGAGATAAGGACAATTAAGAAAAGTAAATATTTTGATGTATACTTTTTTTCTAGGCACATGATTTCTTATTACGAAAAAACACGAGATAAAACTAATCAATCTTTTTATGCATCTATTTAAATAGCTATTGATTTTGGAATTACTTTTAATGACTTCCTTACCATAGATCCTGCATGTATCATGGCAGTTTTGAGGAACCATGGGAACGCCAGGCCAATCAGGACATCGAATACGTTGCTGCCAATTGTGTTCGATACCGCCATGTCTCCAAGGCCTAAATGACAGAAAATGTCAGTTTATGTTAGTTCTTGAGCATAAGAATTAATCAGGTTTGAAATTAATGCAGGGCAATCTAGAGATATGTATGAAAAAGAATGCTAAATAAGTCTATTTTTGGAGCTTCTACACACAAGACGCGTTAAAGTTTGTTATTTGAAAGTCCATAAATTTACTTTCATCAACAGAAAAACAATTTATTTCCGTTAGCTTCAGTTAATTATACATTAGCAGTTTATCTAAAATGCCAAATCATTTCCGTAGTTTTCACCGTCATATCATATAATAAGTAACATTCTACAACAGTTTCCCATGAACCATTGCCAAAGCTGTCAACCGGTGACGGTACCTTGCCTAGCCACTATAATACTGGCCATGGCATCGGGAATACTGGTCCCTGCTGCGATGAACGTTATCCCCATAATGCTGTCAGGTATGTGCAGGGTAAAACCCACCAATGTCATCTGTAATAACCAACAACAGAAGTCGGGCATGATAAACTAATATATAAAATAATCCAGACCTTCGCTTCAGTACCTTAATTGTCATGTTTAATTAGTCAGTTAATACATCATTAAAATCGAGTCGATTCTACGTTTGCTCATCGCTGACCTATCTGGAAAGTTTTGCCATGATCTGTCCATAACTTCTTGAGTTAGTCTGTTAACTTACGAACGAATTAAGGCAAAAATAACCTCTTATATCTACTGAACGTCAGTCTTATTTTTAACTTAAAAGATTTCTCCTGATGGTTCATGATTAGAAAAAGGATGGTTACATTATCTTTTTTAGTAAGTTTTACTGTGCAGTGGTGCAATTGTAAACCTTTTGTCACGTTATACGAAATTCATATTTTACGAGATCACTTTTTAAGAAGTCACCTCTTACAGTATTATTGAAGTATTATTGAAGAACTATCAGCAATTGATTATGAAAAAGGCCTCGGGACTATTAAAAAGAATACATATTGGAAACAGTTCTACCCGCACAGTTCACAAAATTAAAACTTCATTGACAATTTTATGGAGTAAAATTTTGACGAGGCCCATAGACTCCGTGTTTAATCACACTTTGCAGGATGCACAACCCACCATCCACACCATCATGTAGGAAAACATAGCGATCCAAATGATTGAGACGGTAAACGTGAGCATGAACCAGCGCTCCCAGCGTTTTTTCCTGCAGTCAGGAATGGTGTAGTAAAGTAATGTGCGCAGTGGATATACCAGACCCCATGTTATATAACACCACCAGTCTGTTCCTGGAGAATAATAAAATAAAATTATAAAATAAAATAATAAAACCAAGATGATACGGTGTTACGAAACTCACGCCAAATTTTTGAAATCATGATTTTTTTTCAACTAAGCAAAAGTCGTTAAGTAGAGTTTGATAGATGTGCCAAGCGATACCAACTCGTCGCAATTGTACAAAGAAAGGCGGTTGATCACAGCTGAGGCAGTTGTGACACATATTACATTGCGTTGGCGTGCTTACACTGAATTGAGCACAAGTTTATACTAGAACTGACAACAGATATTGGTTGTGAGACCTTTGGGTGGTAAAGTGCGCCATTCGACTGAGGTATCTTCTTCTTCCGCTTCGTCAATAGTTAGACTGCAATTTCAAGGTACAATTTAAAAAAATGAGTCTACTATTATTCCAACTACTACTATTTGGCTTTTGGCACTGAATCCTCGTGAAATATTTAATTTTGGCTTACGTTACAAAATCAGTCATCATTTTTAGAGGTAAATCTAGTACTTAAAATAGAACGCTTCGATAGTTACCATGTTTGCAGAGAGTTTTTGAGCGCCCTGTTACTGTACGCTGAGAGAGTACTAGCGTAGGTCAAGTGCTTGAACCTGTGTCTCTTCAAAAAAGCCGCATCCATGAGCAAAGCTCGCCTCTGAAAATGATGTGATCATTGATATTTCAAATTCGGAATAAATGTGAAGCCATATTGAACTCGTTATTCTGTTTCATTAAGGTAAATATGTCTTCTAATTAATTAATTAACAACTGAACAACAATTAATTAACAACTGAACTGCCGTGAGAACGGGAACGTGATTAAAGCCTAGATTGCATTTACACGGGCGCCGTGCGATGAAATTGTCCGTAAAAATTTATTATTATTATTATTATTATTTTAATCGTAAGGAGCTACGGGCTACGCCGAGAATGTCTACATTACATGGCCTTAAATCAGTACGATTCCGTGCGATTTCGCACCGCCACCGTCTACCTCCGCTCAGACGCCGTGCGAAAAGGGTATTACGGGCGGAATACGTGCACCGTACGGGCGTCGCATTTCAAATGTAATTTAGACTTAAGCATGCGACCCGTTCTCTGCGAGCAATATGAGACAAATTTGTAAACTAATCGATAAATGAAATATATTATAGCGAACAAGCTAGACTAATGCAGATCTCACGAGAATGACGATAAACTAAATTAACGTGTGCGCCGCTCTAAAGTGTTCCTAATGGTCTTGTTGAGTATTTGGCTTTGTCCATGTTGTAAAGGCGCCATGAAGATGCACGCGGCGCTACAGTTCTGCAGCGCGACGAAAGAAAAAGGTCACTGAAATTAGCTTACCTGAAGGACAACCAGTCGCACGGCGTTTATAAATCTTGTTTTCGTGCGAAATCGTTTCTGTATTAGAAAACGAAAGACAAAGGCTGCGAAACTCCATCTGAAAAGGTCAAGTAGTTATGAATGCCGCTCTACCAACTGAATTGATAAATCACTCAAATTCCAATTCCATCTTATAAAAGCAATTTGGAAACATACTCTATAATTTTAGAGTCCAAATCCTAGCCGTCAAATCACAATAAGATAATGCAATAAGGTGGAGCTCACTTACTTGACTTTGCTTTTGGCTACGTAATCATCAACATGTATCACATCGTAGAGTCTTGGTGATTTGGGGTCCTCGGTGTCATCTATGTCATCATTAAATCGTTCTAAAACAGAAATGCGTTTTAAATTATTGACTATACTCAGCTATTAGATATACCATGAGAAGGAGCTCTGCAGTACGAGTAAGGCGATTACAGAGACAAACAAAAAGACGTACATGAATTCACACACACACACACACACACACACACACACACACACACTTACCATAACTACCGTGAAAAGAAATATCTTTCTCCCGAGGTAGTATACTATGGGTCTCCTCTCCCCATCCTAAATAAGCTCCTATTTTGTTTGATAACCAGCTGTATATCGTACTATTAAATCTGCAAAAGAAACATTAAATCAATCAAAATCAGGATAAATAACACAATTCTCATCATGCTTTCTATAAAATCCAATTGAACTAGACCGTAGTAGATTCAGACGTACCGATATCAGCGTACGACAATATGCAAGGCAAATGAAATTGATAAAAAAAACGGCAGTTCAGCTGTCTGCATCACTACCAAGAAGATCCTACTGACTCTCTGCATACCTTTCACCGATACTGAAACGGGTAGGAAAGATGACGGCTGGTGTGATATCAAAGATTTAGAATTTTATTTATCTATTTTCTCGTGATTGTGTCACAACTAGAATAACGGGTCGGGACGTTTTTCTAATACATTTTAGAATCATTTATTGAATAACGACTGTTATTGCAGTGACCATTAATGTTAGAATATATCGAGATGATTGGAAAGATTAAAAAAAAAGGTATTCGGATATTTAAGCCTGGTAGATCGACAGAAAGAATTTTAATTCAGCAATGTAATGAGATTAATGTTGTGTATGATAAAACTGGTCGTTATAAGGTTTGGCAAAGTAATCTGTCAAATATTTTCGACCTACCTCATCACAAGAATGTAGAGTAGATATACAAATAACATGATGGCCGATTCATACCATTTGACGAAACTATCTGAAATTACCTGAAACGTAAAAAAAAATCTGCAATACTATATCCTTTTTTTTTTACGATACCTGATTATTATCAAGAAAATGTTCTACACAAGATATTATCTCTGGATGACGAAAGATGACATTTTCATTTATCATTGGTATTAGATGTGATCACTGAAACATAAAAGACACATTATTTCAAACGAAACGTATGAAATATTTCATCATTCTTAAGTTATTAGTAACTGGCGGGTCTGGGATACCCAAAAGTGTGAGTGTGTGTGTATGTGTGTGTGTGTGTGGGGGGGGGGGGGTCTTATATCCGACTATGATGTGTATTGAAATCACTTACCGCAATCAAAATGATTACTGATACAGAATAAAATGTGCAGTCCCTTATCAGTGGCCAGTGAGATAGAGGTACCACCTTAAAGAGAACAATTCACGGAAAAACACAATTAAAAATTAATTTCAAAAAGCCGTGTATTTAGGAACATAACTATTTCTCTTTCTTTTTATTTAGTTAACTTTCAAAAATACAAGGGGTACCTGAGTAAGAGTACCTTTTTTTCAAATAAGGGAATATTTAAATAGAATATACGTCTATTTACTTATTTACAATTAGAATACATTGCTTCAACACAGAACTATGCACTATACACGATGGCGGCAGCGTTGTATATACCTGAGAGAGAGTGAGAGGAGGGGGGGGGGGCGGTAAAGGTGTACCTACCTGTCCCGCCAGTAAGGCACATATTCCGACAACGAAAAGAATGTTGAATACTGCTGACCCGACAATAGTCCCCACGCCTACATCGCCACGGGTGACAAAAACGCCTACATGGAAGAAATTTTCATACAATATTATATATAAGCCCAAGTGTTTAAAACATTAAGCAGGGAGTTGATTTTAAATCCCCAGCGTTTCGATCACAGAAAATGTCGAACATTTCTACCCTATGCTTGTTAAGAGCCTAGAATATATGGTAGCTTTCTTTATTAAAATCAGAATACATGCAGTCTAGATTGCTGATAACCACTGAGGGTGGGCAAAACGGAGAAGCGGCGTAATTTTACATCAAAAAACTTTCAGTATCTATAAAAGGAAAAACGTCGATCTGTTATCTTAAGGAAAGGGACATCCCGTGAAAACACGATGTAAAATACGTAATGAACCCCCCCCCCCCCCCAAATAAAACAATTTTTGCAACATAAGCAATATCTCCCAAGATGAAAGTACCCCATGTGTCGAGACCTTAATCGCCCTACCAATGATAGACGTGAAGAGCTCAGGAGCAGAACTGCCGGCAGCCATGAAGGTGGCTCCTGCGACGTCCGCGCTCAGATGGAGTTTCTGGAATTATGTAATAAGAGGTCTTGTCAGACACGCTAGCCTTTTTCATATACACATTTATGAACACCTTTTTTTCATTACAAACTGGCCATATGAACAAGGAAAATACAAGTTCCTCTGTAGAAAGTACACATAAAAGATGTTGTACCATTTGCTGTTCACAATTTACAAAAAAGGAAATGGAGGACATTTTTTCATTAGATCTGATTGTACAACGATGGCGTAGTTGCGTGCATGATTTCTTCAGCGCATGAATAACATGGGTCAATTTCCAAATGGCTGTTTGATGGAAAAAAACATCTGATGTCTCGGCGCATTGAACGGTGAATTTCTACAGAATGATATCAAAAAGTAATGTTTTAGGAACATGACTGTTTCTCTTTTCTTTTCTTTTCTTTTTATTCAGTTAACTTCCAAAATCCCAAAATCACAATGGATACCTGAGTAAGTATCTTTTTTCAATCAGTTAAAATTAGCCCACAGCAATCCAAAAAAGATCAATTCAAAATCACAAGATGACATTTCATAAACAATTATATAGATCTTTTAAAATGCTTTACTTCCAAAAGTGCTAAATATCATTAGCAGTGTGTTTACTTGAACATGTTTGTAGTTTATTTAATTGACCATCTATTCCTCAAAGATTAAATTAAGGATAAAATATTTTAGAAATGAAAGGAAGGAGAAATGGCGGCCGCGTAACAGCACGGTTGAAGAAGACAGTACAAATGCAGTGGCTTAACATTTGAGCCCCAAAGCGGCCATTAGGCTTTTATTCCATCTTTCCGACTGGAATCCTTCATTGTAAAATATAAAAAAGAATAAAGCATAATAGCAGCCGATCACCTCACTCACAAATCAATTACTTTGGCATTAAAATCGATATACCAGAAGACAATGTAAGCACTGGAAAAGTGATAACATAAACAGTACCTCACATATTCTATCCAATGATGGAAAAGTGATAACATAAACAGTACCTCACATATTCTATCCAATGATGGAAAAGTGATAACATAAACAGTACCTCACATATTCTATCCAATGATGCCACAAAGTAGTCGTCACACACTATGGCCAGGGCAACAAACATATATGCCAGTACCAGACAGTGGATAATAATTGCGCCTTGGGCACGTTGCGTAGATGTGAATACATCGCGTGGAAACTCGTGATATGCTGCAGAATAAAACATGAATCAAATGACAACGTGAATCAAAATAATTGCAGGATGAAAATGTAAAGGAACCTGCCATTTGGCACAGTCGTTGCTACATACTACTCTGTTACACATCGCACAAGTTGTATAGAAAATATTGAATTATTTTACTATATCAGCATTGTACCGAGCACATGTTGAATCCGAATGGTGAGAATATTATCTCAATATATAAACAACCACATCAAAGCATCACCAGACATCAATAACGTAAGGCACGACGAATGAGTCTTCCTGCAGAAGTGAGATACCGCAAGAATGCCATTCAAAACAGAAAGCGTGACTATTATCACTAATTTAAGAGATTTGCATTAAATCAAACAAATGTTTTGCAAAGAGCAGCTTTGATTGATATGGTTGTTTTACTGTGGATGCATTTGAAAATACACGCTACTGTTATCGATTGGCATTTTGATATATAAAAATGTTGCAAAATGTTGAAACATCATCTGAAAGGTTGCAGACACGTCTTTATGATGTATATATTTGTTAATTAAAGTGATAATAACTCTTCGTTTCGGCCAAAAAATGAATTTTCCTAGAGTGAACAACAATTTTCTCATACTTACCAATGGTTAATGAATCCATTTTTACATTCAAAGTTAGTCCCTGGTTTTTTTCTAAAAAGTTTGGTTTTTTGTTAAAATCTCTTAAGAGATTTTAACAGAGTATAGCCATCAATGGAGGTTATGTCGTCTAAAGACAAGCTCAGATATCAGAGTAATAGCTATAACTGCCAGTTTTGTGGTAAAACAGAATATATTATATTTCTATGAGTTATTCACAATGTTTTTATTGTGAAATATAGATCTCATATGAAGAGTTATTATCCCTTTAAATTTGACTATATACCTCAATGGCATAACAACCACATTACTAAAATGGTAAGGTAATGCAACTACATCATGAGCATTTTCCATCACAATTATACTGCATGCTTCGAATGTTACGACCCTATGGTAATATATAGTGCGTGGTCGCGCGTTGATGAAAATCGATTCTTACTAACTCACATCAGCCGAGCTAAGATGATCTTAATGTCTTTAATACAACCTGGTATCCTTGAGCGATCTGATTGAATTAGACGAGGAACATTTGACGGAAGAATGTGAACATTCAGAAACGTTTAAAGTTTGACTTCCATCCCATGGGTCAATCTTTACTTATTTCAGCCTTATAATGTGCTTCGATTTGCAAGTGTTGGTAACCCATAATACAATTAACTAAATGCATAGTCGCCTATAGTGAATCCCATCTGGCTGCACGGAGAGTTAAACAGTTTTTCTCCTCTTTATCACTAAAACGCACAGCTAAATAAAAGTTAAACATCAAAACTTGTGATTGAAAATTGCCCTTTCACCCTTTCCATCAGGGCAGCACAAAGCAATATGGAACGATCGTTTCGCTGGATGATATATTATTGAGATCGAGTTTTCCATTTCCACATCAATAGATAAAATTGACTAATCTCCATATCTGAAGAAGGGTAGTTTGGACTGACTGCTGTATAGAAAATTAGTGTAAATTTATGCCTTTTCCCTGCAGTATAATGACCATTTTGACTTGAATTTAAAAACAATGAAAAATGATTGCAATGAGAAGTACTTTCCCCTGCGCCTACCTTGCAATAAACCCTTACATACGATCATACAACAGGGCTATCACTAATTGAATCGCAATTTTGCAGGCAAATCGCAACAAGTACGATAAAGGCTCTTGACATATACACGCAAAACCTTTTACTGTAATCAGTGCAGTGGACTTTGTACTTTGATGCTGCTTTCAGTGTACGGGATGGAATGAGAATCCATCGAGACATACATGGCAAGTAGACACATCAAAAACTGTTCGATACTTGGATTTTACTATGTAAGCCGACCCATAATAACTGAGTGCTTGAAAACTAGAAAAGGGGACACTGTCTCATTGCTAGCCAAACATATGGGTGAGCAAAGGCCCAAACTTACGATGGAGCCAAGGTGTTTAACGAAAATACAATAGCAACTCAAACCAAACACCCCTTCTTGATTTTGCTTTTCTGAACTAGAAACCTTCTTTTAATATCCGGCAAAAACAAATAAGTCCATGATTCAGTGGAAATTAAGTGAAACATTAGAAAGTATCCCGCAAATAAATGTCGTATCAGCGGTATGAGATTTAGACATGTCGTTTATCTTAAAACCAAAAAAAAAAGTCGTCCACGCTTGGTAAATGATTCCCACATTAATCAACTTAAAGGAGACAGTCAATAAAACTATTACTGCTCTATAACTTGCCCTGTAACATTTCTGAATTATTGTTATGGCTTCTTATTCTAAAATACACCATAAGCAAAGATAAGAGCACGCTTGTATTCCCGAACTTGGCTCAGGATAATCTAGAAAAATACCTTATTAGATCGAAGTATTACATATATGGCACGGATATCTTGTTCGGATAAATTGGACGAATATGGGCACAGATAATTGTTTATTGGTGAGAAATTGTTGAAGACCGAAGAAAAATCGTTATGGGTACTGAATCAGATATGGCACCTAAGACGATTGATTTTAACCTTTCCTTTGCAGCATTAAATGTCATTTTGAAAAGGGGATTATCCAAATATATTAAATCTTAAGTCAGGGACTAGTCTTTTCACAATGCTTCTGAAACCATAAATTCTTAAGAGCATTGATAATAGAATATAGAAGTGTTTTTTTTTTATAATTTGCAATAATCTGAGTATTTACAGCATTCTCTTAGATGCGTATTGCATTAAAATGGGTAAAAATGAAATCCATAATTTTTTTTTTAAACATTGTTCTTGCCTTAAAACGTGACACTTTAAACAATTGTAAACAATGTGAATCAATGTAGGCCTAAATGTACCAGCTGGTGTGCACTCCTCCTCGCTGTTATTGGTGGCACTGCCATTTTCAGCATTATTGTAAGCATCGGGTTCACTCAGAAGTCGCCGTCTGGAACTGGACTGCAGCAACCCATTCTTCTCACGGTGCCTTGCGCCTAGGCAATTAAGAATTGTAATTAGGTGAGCGTCAGTGCTCCCCAGCCTTTTCTTTTCATGCCTTATTAATGCATTCTATATAAAGTCAATTTATTCTTGAAGATTCGTCCAGTTTTTAATTACAGAGAGTCTAGGTAGTCTAAAAGTCGATTCGAGCAAGCAAGGAATGTTAATCGGCAAAATCTTCAAGCGTAATAATGTATGTTAACTTACTCCTCGGCTTAGTCTCTTTTGTCTGAGAAATCAATTTAAGTGTTGGCAAAGCCGAGTTCATGATTGATGGTACAGAAAGGCATGTAGTGTTACTGAAAGCGTCTAATTTGTATACAGAGAGATGTCTTTTGAAAACCCTTAATAAAAACCTCACGAAAGGATCCTTATGTAAACCGTAAGTTACATGTAAGGGACCGACAAACACGATTGAAAAATATGACAAGCAGTTTATTGAAATGGTATATAGCGTTCTTCTAAGGTTGAAACAGTGTAACTAATGTTTCAATCTCATGTACATTAGACGTTAGAAAATTAGACTGAATATGAAATGCAACAAAAACGTGCATTATGACATTTTAGCAATATTGGTATATTAAATACAATAGTATCAAAACCATAATATCCAAAACACAACGAAAAAAATCTTTATTATCTTATTTAATTTTCTTTTATCAAATCACTGCTTGAGACTTACCCAATCTTGATTCATTAGTGACATCCGATGGTGGGCTCATCCAATCTCGAATCTGTATTCCAAAGAGAAAGCATACCGATATTCCAAGCAGAAACGCTTGTCTTAAAGCCAACCTCAATCCTCCTCGACGCCTGAACCTAACCCAACCCATTCTGAAACCGCCCAAATCAACCAACTAGCGTCTTCCCCAGCTGTCCTTCGGTTCATGTGTTCCTTCTATTGGTGAAAATTTTTTGTTTGCCAAATGTCTTTTTCACTATATACAATCGTGCGACAGGCCAAAGAGATCCGATATGCTGAACTAATATTATTAGGATGATGCATGGAAACTACAGTTCAAGTCGTGCGGTGATTTGATACCCGGTGCCGGCGAGTTCGATTGCTAATTACTATGCTGCTGCGCTTACATATTACGATGCAGAGATACACCGTCAACAATTGCAATAGTGAGTTTCACATTGGGCACCGACAAGATGCATTAACGGTACGTTGCCAAGGAGACGAACACCGCGGTGGCGTGTGACATAACGTTTACATACATACTTGGGTTTTAGTCTGCGTTTCTAATGCGTACATAACGAATTATCTCTTTTTTTTTCGAGCACATCTGACATTCTCATATGAAAACCACTTCAGCTTCATCTTATCATGGAAATATATCGTCTACGATATATTTCCATCATCTTACAAGGCAATACAGAATTGTGAATATTTTATCGTTTTCGATGAGATCTTTTCGCTAATAAGATCAGTTTGCACTACAATAATCAATGTATCGATTTCTATATGAACACCAATAGCCGTAGGCTTCAATTTTTTTCTTTACAACACCATGATGTCTTTTATATGCAGGCTTGACAACTGTCCCCGGAGATGATGGATAATGACGCATGATCACCCTGAAAGTAACACCCGGTTGTCAGATCGACTTTAAGGAAGGGTTAATGGCGTATTCAATCGAAACTTGACTCCATTCAAGAATTCCTTATTAAAAAACACATATGTGCACATGTGAAAGTTTCAGCACACATTGATCAAGGTATTGGCAATCTCTCGCTCTCGTCATTTAACGCTATGCATCTAATAGATTTTGCTGTCTTTTGGATACATTGTGGTTTAAGTACACTCTAAATCCAGATATTGAGCGCCTTACTCCCAAGGTGCAATAGATGGAAATCATTATACAAATCAAAAATCAAATTGCGAGTGTTTTGGTCACTGCTTTAACAGACAATTGCGATTTGTCTGGAACTGACGGATCTAATTTTCGAAGGAGATAAACTAGGAACATCGCAATGTGATAACGTATCACTCGTACACGTAGATTCGTTTTGCCAAATAGACCATTAATAACGAACAGAGATTAGGTCTAACCAAAGCCTGCGTCAAACGGTTGTAAAATCCCATGAAAATAACATTAAGTCCGAAGAGATTCAATGTTTTATCGATTTATTAACCAGTAACGCATGTACGTACATACATCAGCATATGCATTTTTCTTTTCACATAAATTAGATTGGACAAGGAAGGTTTTTCTTTCAATTAAATTTCAAAAAAGGTTGAATTTTTAAACAATTATGCCTTTCACTACGGGCATCATGCACTAAATCACTTTCACAGAATATGCGTTTGCTTGTGTTCATTAATTGCCCACTGCCTCTAATATATTGAGCAAGATTTACCAGCTCCCCAGGCTTCAGGATTGAGAGCAGCTAAAAGTCAAGTGTACGGCATTCCTCTTAGGCTCTTAGGTCTATTAGCATTTTCCAGTCAAAATGACAGGTGGTGGTACATAATCCAAATGGTTCAATTCCCTGCATTTAGACATATAGCAAAATGGGTGATTCAGTTTATTTGGGGATCAATGAACTCACCAATCCCACTATCGACAAGGCCGTCTCGTTTTTTTTTTTTTCAGTGGTTGGTCAGTGTATAGTGGGAACGGCGGGGTCACGCGGACAGGAGAGAGCCAAGTTTCCAGTGACCCCTTAAAACTCGGGGTTTATCATATGGAACAGTTCGGGTCCGACTTAAACTTCAAATGTCAAAGTTGTACTTCAAGATCCAGTTCTATTGACTTTTACACTACAGGGATGTGATAATTACCAAATTACCAAGAGGATAGTGGGAACGGCGGGTTTCGCGCTGATGGGAGCGAGGCAAGTTTCCATTCTGAATAAAACTTCAAATATCAAAGTTATACCTCAAGCTCCGGTTCTATTGGCTTTTACACCGGAGGGATATGACAATTACCGCAGGCAGATCTTTTGTCGTCTCTCACACCTTGTATTTGTATTCCAATCAAAACTTATATAGTAAGGTCATTGGAAATGGGTTCTTATTTTGAAAAAGTATATTCTATGCTCAAGGAAGAGTTGGCGCTGAGAGTGAATGTCATTTGAATCTTTCATGCGTAGGCCTCGACACTACATCACCCTGAGCAATGAGGGGAAAATCGTCTCTGAAAATGACATTTAAATCAATATCTCAAAGCCTACGCATCATACAATCGAACGAGTCAAGCAAACTGGCTGTTTCTGTGAAAATGTATTTTTTTAAAGATTTTAGCACACAAATAATCCCTTATTGACATAGAATTCAGTGAAAATTAAATTTTTTAATCAGTTTTTAAACAAATAATTCAGAATATACAAATGAACAATTTATTGTATCATTATATCAGTATTTCTTTACAAGTTTCACATTATGGGATTTTACTGTCAGAATATATAATTCTAGTCCAATTCGTGTTTATCTGTTACTTTGATTTCATTCAGCAAGAGTCCCCACGGAGATGGATCAATCTACATAGGACAATAGTTTCATGGGGAATGGGCCCTTGATTGTTAATTTAGCCCAAATCCACACCCCGAGCTTCTCAAGTTGTCTCCCCAGTGACAAACATGTGCACAGGTTTATCAGTTCTCAGCATGTGTCCCGTTCTTTCCTTGCCCACTACTGCGGCCAATCGATGGGCTTCATATTTAGAATACAGAACTGTACAGGTCACGTCCTCTGTCCTCTGGGTTTGCTTAGGATCCTGCAGCATGTTACATAGTTCACTGTAAAAATGGGAGTACTGTGGCAGTGCGTAGAAAATTACGTGGCGGATTCCTCGGATGATAAACCTGTGGATAGAAAACAAGTAACTGATTTTATTTCATTTTCAAACTGGCATCCCTTCATAACTGTTGTTATATTTTCATCTATTTCTACAGCTGCATTCTCACCAATTTCTACAAAAAAAAAAAAAAAAAAAAAAAAAAGATTTATTAAGCCTAAATATCTGATTACAATAAATCCATATAATCTAACAAATCACTCCACACGCTGAATGCTTAAATTAATTGGTGGCAGTGTTGCAATGGACCCGAAGTTGGGATTAATTTATAATTTTTGCTGAAACCAATTAATAAAACCTGCTGTTAAAGCTCATGTTGGCTGTGACTTGATTACTATCATGCATTGCTTTTACTGCACCTGACATTGTTTAATACACCAACAATCTTATCAATAAACAAGAGAAAATAAGGCATAACATTTGATTTATAAATTAGTCAAGGTATCCCTTTTATTTAATCATATATTTTTTCACAACTTAATACCCTTCCACCTGAAAAAATGTCCCACTGAAATTTGAAGAAGCTCTACTTGTTTGTGGTCTTTCATTTCTTAAATATAACCTGAAAGGACTTCCATAATCAAATGCGACATACCAAGAATCTCTTATTTTCTTTTTTCAATGCTTTTCAAAATTTCATACTTCAACAACTACTGACGTGTCACTTTCAACCATTATTTATTATGATTACCCTAAAGCGCCAAAGAAAATATTGATTAGCTCAAAGAATATTGTTACAAAACAGGAAGAATGTGTAAATCACACATCTGCTCTCACATCCCTGGCTTTCAAAACACACACTCCTGTTTGCTAAAATTGTTAAATATTTCCCTTGTTTATTTAATTTAGATGGCAATAGGCTGGTCCTTGCTGGGTACACACACATAATTACACACATACCAACCCACACATACAGCTTGATTAGCAACGCGAGATTAAAAATACTAATAATAATTTATTGGGTGCAAATGTTTTTGCATTTAGAGGCTCTGTAACTACTATATAAAAAATAAATGTAAAATGATAAAATCCCCAGTGTATTGGACACTAATTATTTGTGTTTTAACATAACCTTATTTACAAATTCTGCTACCATAATACTATATAGTAGCTTAATATAATGAGGCTTAAGTAGTAAAGAAATGTGTAAAACAATTGGATCACAGATGCTGAAGGTTTATTAATGCCAGCTAATTTGCAGACTCAAAAAATCACGTTGGATTTGAAATTGGACCAAGTTTCTACATCTTCAACAGCATTTGTTTCTCTTTCCATCAAAGCACTAGTTTCAAAGGGAACACTTCTTCCATCTGTGGAAAATACACTGAAATTCAAAGGAAGCAGTCAAGCCACATCAAATACTGCCAATATGTTCACAGACTAATGGGCTTGACAAAGGACCCTGCCAGAAATGCACGTTTCAATATGGATCAATATACATCACTAGCTGTACATGTAGTGATCCAGTCAAAGCATTATCTCATGTAAAATAGAGTTAGCTGTTATAATGATGACTTGTATACAATCTTATTACATCTGACTTGTTTGGTGTGACACAGGAAATAATTTCAATCTTGGGATGTCAATGAAAAATATGATTTATGTTTCAAAATAAAAGTATAAACATGGGAAAAATATAAATAGAACAATTTATAATGTCCAATTTGCTCCATTTGGAGATTCTGAACATAGTGAATGATTGAATCTGACAAACTGCAATGATGAGTTCCTTTCCGTTTTTGATACTTTATTACACAATGCACTATAATAGTTTTACCGTCATTTTTATATAATCAACTAACAATATTGTTAAGAAGCAGAAAATGTTAAAACAACACTTTTACATATCCAATTAGTTCCATAATGAGACTATTAACATGCTTAAGAATTAAATTTGAAGAAAAACCACTTATATACAAAAAGGCTAATAACTTAATCAAAACTTAACTGATCAAGCTTATTTTCAAACTTGATCTGTATACTGGTCATATTGATCACTCCTGTGAGTTGCAAGAGAAAAGGCCGATTGGTTTTCCTTAACATGCATACAAAGTGTTGCATGTATGCTGAATGAAGGAAAAAAACAGCATTACTTTTGTTAAAATAGTCCAATCACGCCAATTTTCAAACTTGACCTGCGTAATATAAATATTCACCAGTTCTGTAAATTTCAATCCAAAAGGAAAAATATTTCTACACTTATCAAGTTATCGGTGTTACAAAAGTGCTGAAAAAATTGAAAAAAAAATAGGATAACTTCCATAAAAATTGCCCGATCTTGCTGATTTTCAAACTTGACCTGCATATTATGAATATTCATTAGTTAAGTAAGTTTCAAGCCAAAAGAAAAAACAGTTTTCCACTTATTGTGTTATCAGTGCTGCATATATGCTGAAAAAAGTGAAAAAACAGCATAAATTCCCTAAAAGTGACCCAATCATGCTGATTTTCAAACTTGACCTGCGTATTATGAATATTCATCAGTTCTGTAAGTTTCAAACAAAAAGAAAAAACAGTTTTCCACTTATCGTGTTATCGGTAAAAGTGCACGGCGATGGCGACGACGGCAACGACGGCGACGACGGCAACGACGGCGACGACAGACGCAGATGACGGCTATATGTACAGACACATCTGTGTCTGTACATAAAAATAATGTTTTGGTTTTGGTATTTTTTGGTGTTGGTGTAGGTCAACTGTTATTGTTTTGATCTTTCCTTCCATATGTCTTTAACCCATTTCTCAATTACTGAAAATGGGCATATTCTTAAAATTTTCAGTTAAGAGCCATCCCTTGCCCTATTGTTCCATTTCTACAATCCTCTAACTACGAAAACTGACAGAGTTTAAAGGAAATTTACACAAATAATTGCATACAGCACCTTGGGGTTTGCAGCAAAAGGTGGCATTTGCCAAATATCACAAAATAATTGCCGAAGAAACCTAGGAAAATTAGCTTTGCTGTCTCAATTTTGTCAACCATCCAAAGAATTGTCATTTTAGATGAAAAAATAATCTGCTGGCATGTGTGATATTACCTTCTGTAAAAATGAAGCCTCTCCGTGTACAGCAGAAAATGAATTCTGGCATGGTAAAACAGACTTCTGGCTCTCGATATAACGCTATCACTACTGTATCTGAAAAACATTACAATAATTGAATTATATCTAAAGGACAAAAAGAGCAAAAGAAATTAGGAAAATGTCAATAAGATTATGGAAGTTTCTTCTGGGGCTTCTGACTATCAAAGTAAGTTTGAAAAGAATTCCAATGTAATGGGATTTGTAGTCAATAGTCTGGGTCAGTGTCAATATGGTCCAAAAACTTTGGAATTTAAAGACAAGTACCTCAGATAAAATCAAAACAGATATAACTGTTTCTGTCTTAGATATATATTTATTCAGTATCCAACATCTCTAATCATGGGGTCCTTTTCACTCATTCCTGAACACAAGTCTACTCTGACTCCCCCACATAAATAGAAATATATTTAGATAGATATAAGCTCTTCACACAAAAGCTGTATGTATTAACTTTTCATTTGACAATGTTGACAACCTTAAACATACCAAAATCCTGACACAGTTTTTTTGTCACATAAAAAGAACAGGTTGATAACTAATGGATCAAAAATACATGTAACTTACTCGCACAGGCACATGCTATCTACTTCTTCCTTCTTGAAATGGTTCCTTAATCTGACATAATCAAAGTAGCTTGGTAAGAAGATTAAGGTTTGAGACATCACTGGGTCTTGGTGATGGGGCAGGACCTGCATGAAAGATGCATACACTTTGCCTTTAGTTTGGGTCATTGAGGATGACTTTGATTGTAACCTTTAGTAGAAAATTCCATTCAATTTGGAAAATGAATAATATTGACCAAATAGATTCACAAATCTGCTAGATTCCTGCAACAAATGTACAGCATTTAGTTCTGGGATGACAATCAGTACATTGCAATGAAAAAGAGTTGCTTTAATAATATTATTGAGCATACCTTTTTGATGAAAAAATTGAACCTTGCGTCTGCTAACTGACTATGACTATCACACTCTATCCTGTGAAATACCTGAAATCAGTTTGAAAATGAAAACACGAATTACAACAAACTTGGTTTCCCAGCCTAATCTGCATTTATCCCCAACAAAACCACACATTAAATTTAATATGGTTTGGCATTTCGGTGCTAACAATCCAAAGCTCAGGCAAAATACTAATATATATATACCCTGCTATATGCAATATCTTTTGCAGACATAATCTAATTATTCTGATTTTCTTGGTCTTATTATCTTTTTTTTAACAAAACCACCAAGTAAATTGGTAGTCATGCAAAAATGCAGCTTGGCTGTTATAGCATGAATAAATGTGTTACAGGGAGAAAATGATTATGCTGGCACAAAAAAAAAAAAAAAAGAACACAGACACTTACAGTGTCTATATATAAGCATAAATATATAAGCACAATAGTTAACAACAATCTAAATATAACCTAATCAACATAAGCCCCTGCACATTTAAAAGTGCTGAATGATTATATTATTTCGCAACAAAAGCTATCTCATTTGCAAGTAAGTGAACATTTAAAAGTAGTATAATCAAGTAAATATTTAAAGCCTAGGAAAATACAAACTACATTTTTGATTGTAATGCACATCTTGTGCACATTATAATAAAAAAAATGGGTAAACTGACAAAAGGTTTAACATTGTGTATCAAAAACAACATTGTACTGTTGATTCTATCAATCACCAAAAATACAGTATTTTTATATCTCAATCCCTTATAGATTAACCACATGTAAGCACCAATGATAAGAAAAAAATTACCATACATAAAAATACAGTTCAATCTACAACAATGGCAACTGACTTATATAATTTTGCAAAACTTCATAACCTGTGGTAACTGGGTTATGATTTGGCATATCACTCCCCTTCCAATGCTTGGACTGACCATTAACTGACCGGCATAGTCTGAAGGTCAAAGTTAAAGAAACTCTTCTGCGTTGAGGACAAAACCAAAAGCACCCCTATTATCTAAAAATTTTAATAATAGGCCAAGTAGCAGGTAAAGTTTAGATGCTTAGGCGATAAAGCCATTTAAATCTTTCTGACAACTGACTGTTTGTACATGTATCATATTCACGTTCGGCTAAGGGAGCATATGACCATTTTTACATATATGAAAATCAAATATGTTACACAATTTAGGACGTTATTCAAGAAGAACTAATTAAGGTTGACTGTAGAAACTGAAATAAAAATATGCTGAAAGAATGATTGAACGAGGAAGCAAGGCGTTAAAAAGGGCTGACACATAAATGACAAAACTAATAGAAGCACTTACATAAAAGACATCTAAAATGACAAATAATTTATGATGAAAATGCACAACATTTTCTGACAATTTTGATACAATATTACATCACCACTAATCACCACTAATTTAATAACTTATTACAGACTTCAGACTCAGGGAAATTCACAGCAACACCTTGAAAATGCTAACTGGTGGAAAATTAAAACCTCGAAAAAAATTATAACTTGAAAAATTCCAAGCAGACTGCTTTTCGAACTTGAGCTGCATTTTAATCCAACGAATAAGTCTTGTTACTTCTTGAACACAAAGTAGCGTGGTTTTTCTTTAATGGTATCGATGGGGTAATTGTGCCCGTACATAAGAAACATGCTGCTGTTTTAAGATATGTGTCATCTCTCTTTCACACACACACACACACACACACACACACACACACACACACACACACACAAAGGATACTGTGACAGTACTTGTTGACTAATGAATTGAGTTCTGGGGTTGAAGTGGAGCTGAACACAAGGGTCTGGCGATAGAACCTGGACCTAAAACATATAAAACAAAGCAGCTAAAACAAAGTATGTATGACAGGATAGGATATAATTTTCATAGTATCTATAACATGTTAACTGTTAGTTTTTTTAGGAATCTACGTAAATGAAACATAACAGACATTTTGATGATTTCATATTATCTTCTTCAGGGTGGATGGTCAATATAACTGGTCAAATGGTAACCAGTGTCAAAAGCTTGAATAGGTCAAATACATCTTACAGATGCTATGAATCAGGAATACACAAATACACATAAATAATTCAGTTATCAGAATGTAAACTTGAGTCTTCTGAGGAATGATTGTGAAAGAGACTATCAAAAGATGAGAAGCATGCTTCATGATATCCCAGGCTTAATTGCGTAAGAGGCTATCCTTCATTCCCAAAGCAACATTAATTTAGTACGATGCAAACAGATTCTCACTGACAAAGTATGACAATGCAATTGCACAGCTTTCACAAAATTTTAAAAACCAAAAAGTAAATTGATCAAAGTCTCAGATGCAGACAACACACACACCAAATATGTAATATCTAAGTTTAACATCAAACTACCCACCATCCATTTAGCGTCCACATACGGACTCTAGAAAAGTCCACACCATGTGGATCCTGAGGTTGTAGATGGATATGGGACATAATATGCTGAAAAAAAAAGAAGTTACCAATATATCATTTTGTTTTCAATTCCCATGGGCCTTTTAAAAGTATTAAAAATGGATTGTTGAGTCCTACAGAATTTATAAGGATAAGCATGTTAGACAGTTTGGAAAATATTTTTTTAGATGTACATCACAATGACTTAAAATTGAATAGACGCACTACTGTTACAGTACAGTTCTATACTGATATGACCATGTCACCTACCAATACATGATCCCAATTTTGCATGAGAAATACATCAGACTGGTCCATAATCAGGACTTCTATGGATGATAAGAAATCGTAGTCCCTGTCACTGTCACTAAAATAAAAGACATTAAAAAACTATTCAAATCTATTCAAACTATTCAACTATTTAAAAAACTATTCAAATCAATGTCATTTTATCATTCACCATATTAATTTAAAACTCANCAGTGACCCCTAAAAACTTGGTGTTTATCACATGGAACAGTTTGGGTCCGACTTAAACTTCAAATGTCAAAGTTGTACTTCAAGATCCAGTTCTATTGACTTTTACACTGCAGGGATGTGATAATTACCAAATTACCAAGAGGATAGTGGGAACGGCGGGTTTCGCGCTGATGGGAGCGAGGCAAGTTTCCATTCTGAATAAAACTTCAAATATCAAAGTTATACCTTAAGATCCGGTTCTGTTGGCTTTTACACCCGAGGGATATGACAATTACCGCAGGCAGATCTTTTGTCGTCTCTCACACCTTGTATTTGTATTCCAATCAAAACTTATATAGTAAGGTCATTGGAAATGGGTTCTTATTTTGAAAAAGTATATTCTATGCTCAAGGAAGAGTTGGCGCTGAGAGTGAATGTCATTTGAATCTTTAATGCGTAGGCCTCGACACTACATCACCCTGAGCAATGAGGGGAAAATCGTCTCTGAAAATGACATTTAAATCAATATCTCAAAGCCCATGCATCATACAATCGAACGAGTCAAGCAAACTGGCTATTTCTGTGAAAATGTATTTTTTTAAAGATTTTGGCACACAAATAATCCCTTATTGGCATAGAATTCAGTGAAAATAAAAAATTTTAATCAGTTTTTAAACAAATAATTCAGAATATACAAATGAATAATTTATTGTATCATTATATCAGTATTTCTTTACAAGTTTCACATTATGGGATTTTACTGTCAGAATATATAATTCTAGTCCAATTCGTGTTTATCTGTTACTTTGATTTCATTCAGCAAGAGTCCCCACGGAGATGGATCCATCTACATAGGACAAGTTTCATGGGGAATGGGCCCTTGAGTGTTAATTTAGCCTAAATCCACACCCCGAGCTTCTCAAGTTGTCTCCCCAGTGACAAACATGTGCACAGGTTTATCAGTTCTCAGCATGTGTCCCGTTCTTTCCTTGCCCACTACTGCGGCCAATCGATGGGCTTCATATTTAGAATACAGAACTGTACAGGTCACGTCCTCTGTCCTCTGGGTTTGCTTAGGATCCTGCAGCATGTTACATAGTTCGCTGTAAAAATGGGAGTACTGTGGCAGTGCGTAGAAAATTACGTGGCGGATTCCTCGGATGATAAACCTGTGGATAAAAAACAAATGACTGATTTTATTTCATTTTCAAACTGGCATCCCTTCATAACTCTTGTTATATTTTCATCTATTTCTACAGCTGCATTCTCACCAATTTCTACAAAAAAAAGATTTATTAAGCCTAAATATCTGATTACAATAATTCCAATTAATCTCACAAATAACTCCACACGCTGAATGCTTAAATTAATTGGTGGCAGTGTTGTAATGGACCCGAAGTTGGGATCAATTTATAATTTTTGCTGAAACCAATTAATAAAACCTGCTGCTAAAGCTTATGTTGGCTGTGACTTGATTACTATCTTGCATTGCTTTTACTGCACCTGACATTGTTTAATACACCAACAATCTCATCAATAAACAAGAGAAAATAAGGCATAACATTTGATTTATAAATTAGTCAAGGTATCCCTTTTATTTAATCATATATTTTTTCACAACTTAATACCCTTCCACCTGAAAAAATGTCCCACTGAAATTTGAAGAAGCTCTACTTGTTTGTGGTATTTCATTTCTTAAATATAATCTGAAAGGACTTCCATAATCAAATGCAACATACCAAGAATCTCTTATTTTCTTTTTTCAATGCTTTTCAAAATTTCATACTTTAACAACTACTGACATGTCACTTTCAACCATTATTTATTATGATTACCCTAAAGCGCCAAAGAAAATATTGATTAGCTCAAAGAATATTGTTACAAAACAGGAAGAGTGTGTAAATCACACATCTGCTCTCACATCCCTGGCTTCTAAAACACACACTCCTGTTTGCTAAAATTGTTAAATATTTCCCTTGTTTATTTAATTTAGATGGCAACAGGCTGGTCCTTGCTGGGTACACACACATAATTACACACATACCAACCCACACATACAGCTTGATTAGCAACGCGAGATTAAAAATACTAATAATAATTTATTGGGTGCAAATGTTTTTGCATTTAGAGGCTCTGTAACTACTATATAAAAAATAAATGTAAAATGATAAAATCCCCAGTGTATTGGACACTAATTATTTGTGTTTTAACATAACCTTATTTACAAATTCTGCTACCATAATACTATATAGTAGCTTAATATAATGAGGCTTAAGTAGTAAAGAAATGTGTAAAACAATTGGATCACAGATGCTGAAGGTTTACTTCACAGATGCTGCAGACTCAAAAAATCATGCTGATTTGAAATTTGACCAAGTTTCTACATCTTCTACAGCAATTGTTTCTCTTTCCATCAAAGCACTAGTTTCAAAGGGAACACTTCTTCAATCTGTGGAAAATACACTGAAATTCAAAGGAAGCAGTCAAGCCACATCAAATACTGCCAATATGTTCACAGACTAATGGGCTTGACAAAGGACCCTGCCAGAAATGCACGTTTCAATATGGATCAATATACATCACTAGCTGTACATGTAGTGATCCAGTCAAAGCGTTATCTCATGTAAAATAGAGTTAGCCGTTATAATGATGACTTGTACACAATCTTATTATATCTGGCTTGTTTGTTGTGACCCAGGAAATCATTTCAATCTTGGGATGTCAATGAAAAATATTATTTATGTTTCAAAATAAAAGTATAAAAATAATGTTTTGGTTTTGGTATGTTTTGGTGTTGGTGTAGGTCAACTGTTATTGTTTTGATTTTCCCTGTGTATGTCTTTAAACCATTTCTCAATTACTGAAAATGGGCATATTCTTAGATTTTTCAGTTAAGAGCCATCCCTTGCCCTATTGTTCCATTTCTACAATCCTCTAACTACGAAAACTGACAGAGTTTAAAGGAAATTTACACAAATAATTGCATACAGCACCTTGGGGTTTGCAGCAAAAGGTGGCATTTGCCAAATATCACAAAATAATTGCCAAAGAAACCTAGGAAAATTAGCTTTGTTGTCTCAATTTTGTCAACCATCCAAAGAATTGTAATTTTAGATTAAAAAAATAATCTGCTGGCATGTGTGATATTACCTTCTGTAAAAATGAAGCCTCTCCGTGTACAGAAGAAAATGAATTCTGGCATGGTAAAACAGACTTCTGGCTCTCGATATAACGCTATCACTACTGTATCTGAAAAACATTACAGATACAATAATTGAATTATATCTAAAGGACAAAAAGAGCAAAAGAAATTAGGAAAATGTCAATAAGATTATGGAAGTTTCTTCTGGGGCTTCTGACTATCAAAGTAAGTTTGAAAAGAATTCCAATGTAATGGGATTTGTAGTCAATAGTCTTGGTCAGTGTAAATACGGTCCAAAAACTTTGGAATTCAAAGACAAGTACCTCAGATAAAATCAAAACAGATATAACTGTTTCTGTGTTAGATATATATTTATTCAGTATCCAACATCTCTAATCATGGGGTCCTTTAAGCTCATTCCTGAACACAAGTCTACTCTGACTTCCCCACATAAATAGAAAATATACTTAGATAGATATTAGCTCTTCACACAAAAGCTGTATGTATTAAATTTTCATTTGACAATGTTGACAACCTTAAACATACAAAAATCCCTACACATTTTTTTTATCACATAAAAAGAACAGGTTGATAAAAAATGGGTCAAAAATACATGTAACTTACTCGCACAGGCACATGCTATCTACTTCTTCCTTCTTGAAATGGTTCCTTAATCTGACATAATCAAAGTAGCTTGGTAGGAAGATTAAGGTTTGGGACATCACTGGGTCTTGGTGATGGGGCAGGACCTGCATGAAAGATGCATACACTTTGCCTTTAGTTTGGGTCATTGAGGATGACCTTGATCACAACCTTTAGTAGAAAATTCCATGCAATTTGAGAAATGAAAAATATTGACCAAGTAGATTCACAAATCTGCTAGATTCCTGCAACAAATGTACAGCATTTAGTTCTGGGATGACAATCAGTACATTGCGGTGAAAAAGAGTTGCTTTAATAATATTATTGAGCATACCTTTTTGATGAAAAAATTGAACCTTGCATCTGCTAATTGACTATGACTATCACAATCTATCCTGTGAAATACCTGAAATCAGTTTGAAAATGAAAACACAAATTACAACAAACCTGGTTTCCCAGCCTAATCTGCATTTATCCTAAACAAAACCACCCATTAAATTTAATATGGTTTGGCATTTGGGTGCTAACAATCCAAAACCCATGCAAAATACCAATATATATGCAATATCTTTTGCAGAATTAATCCAATTATTCTTACTTTCTTACATGGTCTACTATTACTTTTTTTAGCAAAACCACCAAGTAAACTGGTAGTCATACAAAAAGTCAGCTTGGCTGTTATAGCAGGAATAAATGTGTTACGGAGAGATAATGATTATGCTGGCACAAAAAAAAAAAAAAAATGAACACAGATACTTGCAGTGTCTATATATAAGCATAAATATATAAGCACAATAGTTAACAACAATCTAAATATAATCTAATAAACATAGGCCCCTGTACATTTAAAAGCGCTGAATGATTATATTATTTTGCAACAAAAGCTATCTCATTTGCAAGTAAGTGAACATTTAAAAGTAGTATAATCAAGTAAATGTTTAAAGCCCATGGAAATACAAACTAGATTTTTTATTGTAATGCACATCTTGTGCACATTATAATAACAAAAATTGGGTAAACTGACAAAATGATTAATATTCCAAAGCAATTTTTCAGATACGTGTATCAAAAACAACATTGCACTGTTGATTCTATCAATCACCAAAACAATCAATATTCCTTGTTGCCTTCTTTCTTGTTTTGAATGAGACTATGAAAGTTTGTGGTACACTGAGATGGAGGAGACATAAATACAGTATTTTTATATCTGAATCCCTTATAGCTTAACCACACATAGGCACCAATGATAAGAAAAAAATTACTATACATAAAAATACAGTTCAATCTACAACAATGGCAACTGACTTAATATAATTTTACAAAACTTCATAAAAACTTCATTACCTGTGGTAACTGGGTTATGATTTGGCATATCACTCCCCGTCCAATGCTTGGGCTGACCATTAACTGACCGGCATAGTCTGAAGGTCAAAGTTAAAGAAACTCTACTGCGATGAGGACAAAGCCAAAAGCACCCCTATTATCTAAAAATTTTAATTATAGGCCAAGTAGCAGGTAAAATTTAGATGTTTAGGCGATAAAAGTCTATTAAATCTTTCTGACAAATGACTATTTGTACATCATATTCACATTCGGCTAATGGAGGATATGACCATTTTTACATATATGAAAAACAAATATGTTACACAATTTAGGACGTTATTCAAGAAGAACTAATTAAGGTTGACTGTAGAAACTGAAATAAAAATATGCTGAAAGAATGATTGAACGAGGAAGCAAGGCGTTAAAAAGGGCTGACACATAAATGACAAAACTAATAGAAGCAATTACATTAAAAAAGTCTAACATGACAAATAATTTATGATGAAAATGCACAATATTTTCTGACAATTTTGATACAATAATACATAATGCTAAACAGCATAATCGCCACTAATTTCAATAACTTATAACTGTTTCTGTGGACATTGAGAGAACAGACTTCAGACTCAGGGGAATTCACAGCAACACCTTGAAAATGCTAACTGGTGGGAAATTAACATCTTCTAAAAAAAGTTACAAATTAAAAAAAATTCCAAGCAGACTGCTTTTTGCACTTGAGCTGCATTTAAATCCACCGAATTAATCTCGTTACTTTGTGAACACAAAGTAAAATAGTTTTTCTTTAATGGCGTTAATGAGGAAATTGCGCAGCACATGGTGTCCGCCCATAAAAACCATGCTGCTGTTTTAAGATATGCGTCATCTCTCTCATACACACAAAACCCACACAAAGGATACTGTGACAGTACTTGTTGACTAATGAATTAAGTTCCGGAGTTGAAGTGGAGCTGAACACAAGGGTCTGGCGATAAAACCTTGACCTAAAACATAAAACAAAGCTATTAACAAAAGTTGGTATAATATGATATGGTATAATTTATATAGCACCTATAAGATGTAAGCTGTATGTACGTACGTAACTAAATAAAACAACAGATATTTCGAAGATTTCATATATCTTTTTCAGGGTGGATGGTCAATATTACTGGTCAAATGGTAACCAGTGTGACAAGCTTGAATAGGTCAAATACATCTCATAGATGCTATGAATCAGGAATCTACAAATAGGGGTGAATAATACAGTTATCAGAATGCAAACTTGAGATTCAGTACCTATTGAGATTCAGTATCTATTCAGTACATGTACAAGCAAATTTATTATTGACAAAGTATGAAAATGCATTTGCACAGCTTTCACAAAATTTTAAAAACAAAAAGAAAATTGATCACAGTCTCAGATGAAGACAACACACACACACCAAATATGTAATATCTAAGTTTAATATCAAACTACCCACCATCCATTTAGTGTCCACATACGGACTCTAGAAAAGTCCACACCATGTGGATCCTGAGGTTGTAGATGGATATGGGACATAATATGCTGAAAAAAAAAGAAGTTACCAATATATCATTTTGTTTTCAATTCCCATGGGCCTTTTAAAAGTATTAAAAATGGATTGTTGAGTCCTACAGAATTTATAAGGATAAGCATGTTAGACAGTTTGGAAAATATTTTTTTAGATGTACATCACAATGACTTAAAATTGAAAAGACGCACTACTGTTACAGTACAGTTCTATACTGATATGACCATGTCACCTACCAATACATGATCCCAATTTTGCATGAGAAATACATCAGACTGGTCCATAATCAGGACTTCTATGGATGATAAGAAATCGTAGTCCCTGTCACTGTCACTAAAATAAAAGACATTAAAAAACTATTCAAATCTATTCAAACTATTCAACTATTTAAAAAACTATTCAAATCAATGTCATTTTATCATTCACCATATTAATTTAAAACTAATTTAAAGTTCAGTTTGCTATCTTTTTTGCTATCAGTTCAAATCAAATGATGTCCTAAGGGCAGTTGTACCTAGAACAAGTCATTTAGTGAAACCAAAACAAAATTATTGATTATTTGATCTTTGTACTAATGTGGCACACTTAATTTGAAATTGCACATCTTCTTTATATAATATTCTACATTCTTGCCAACAAACCTTACCCCTCTGATCCTATGAGTGTCCTCAGACCCAGTGGAGATGCAATGATGATATCAGACGAGTAGAAATCAGTATAGAGTTTCAAGCTTTTTCTTGCTACACCCATTCCAATACGGAAATGATCATCGATGTTTCCCGCAAATAAAGCTTCATAGTCCTCTGAAAGTAATAAAGGATGTTCACTCTCAGTTTGTTTTCAATTTATGTTTCAAGATCAATCACTTTATCAAACTATAAAAATCATGCAAACATCAATTTTAGTTCCAAGTCATGATAAATGGGGGTTAAATTTACCTGGTTTCTTTCCTTTTCTAATGTCTTCATCATCTTGACTGTATTCTGACTGGAACCGCTTCTTATTGCTGACAAAAGTCTGAAAATATAATGGCTAAATTTCCATGCCACAGGTCACTCAAGTTATAAAGCCATTTTCAAACATGATACTTCACACCATTTTTTTTCAGAATTAAAAATAGCTAAATACGTGCCTCTTTTATAAACACTTATGACCCTAGAACTTTAAGACAATGGTCTTGAGATTATAAAGAAAATATGCACACCCATATGATTCAATAAAAACTTTTTAAAAGAAATAACAGCATTTTTTTTATATATTATAGTTCATCCACAATTTCAAAAAGTAACATGCCCATGGTCTTTCTCTTAAATCATCTACCCTTTATCATGCTCAAATCATGTATAAATGATAAAGAACACAAAATGTGGCATCATTCAATATAAAATACACTTTCAGACAGGAGCTTAGACCCCATTTCCATAGATATTTAGATCGATCTATCCCCCTGGGGAGTCTCACTAGATTGGTGTCAGCTTAACCGGCTTAAATGTCTGTCCCACCTACTAAAAGCTGTAAGGGGGTAATTAACTGTCATGTGCGCTCAGCTGAAAGCAATTTAGCGTGAACCCCCAGGGAGTTAGGTTGATCCAGATGGATCGATCTAAATCTCTGGGAATGCAGTTTTAGTGTATCATCAAACTCACCTCTTCTTTTGGCATAAGAAGTTTGATGAACATATTGACAATACGCAGAGCACTGTCCCTAAATGGTACTAAAATTAGTACTTTTGGTCGCGTCAAGCCCTGATCCCTATATTCACTAAGGGGATAAATAATAACTGTATTAAGATTGGATAACAGTATGCAACTTGAATAAAAAACTCCCAGTACTTATAAAACATGGTTACTAACACAGTGCTTGAACTGTGTACACACCATCACATTAAGACACAATTATGTTAAGAGACTTTTATATATCACAAAGATATCATATGTGAACTAAATTAGCTGTCTTAAAAATCTTTATTATTTTCATTAGCATTTACTAGTATAAAAAAGGAATGTCATTTTTATGCAGATCTGAGAAAGTTAAGTACTAACTCCATACTCTCCTCTTTCTTGCTCTTTATTTTGGAATTGTGAGCAATAACATGACTTCTTGTTCTAGAAAAAATAATATTACAAAGAAAAATTCAAGCAGAACAAAGACAAATGACCATAACAGCAAACAGTTGTATCAAAATGTAAATCATACAGGATGTCCTTGTAATAAAGGACAAAAAGTCTCCGAATAACATCTAGTAGATCTATGTGAGTGTCCAGTATGAGATTTAATATTTTTGCCTTTAGAATACAATAGTATTGCCTTCTATTAGACACAAAAATAAATATCAAGTTTGCTTTTCTACTCTAATTCACCAAAATAATAAGTAGCTTTAAACAAGCAGTTTCCAATTAATTATATCAGTTATTCTATATTTCTGTGCTAAGCACTGCACTTACTTCAGCACATGATTGAGAACATGGAGACAGTATACCAGTCGTACTGCCTCTCCATTTATATGTGTGCGACAAGGATAGTACACGTCCTGAAGCAAGATACATCTACCCAATAAATCTTGTGCAAAAATTCTAACAATCAAATTTAAAAAGCAATGATAAAGCAATACACAGAGATTGATTGAAAAATTCATTTTAAATATGGATGTTTTTATCTGCCCATAATCAAATTATAAATTAAAAGACCTTGAGTGAGGATTATGATATGAAAGAATGTTTGTAATATTCTTATAGTTATACATTGTATAAACTGAAAACTGGACACACTGAAAATCAAGACATCAGGTAAAATACTATAATTGACATTAAAATGTATTGTTTACCATGACTCACCTTATAGTCATTGATGAAAGAAAACAACTCCTTCTGTAAGAGAGTAAGGTCTGAAAACCAAAAGAGTCCAGTTATAGAATAATTAAAATAAAACACGTGACACTCATTCTTCACTCAAACTTTGTCATGAAAATTTAAACTTTTTGTAACATTGGAAAAAGGACACATATCTGTTTGAATAATTCTTTAATTACAAACACTACAGGACATTTTTAGAATGTTTTACTGAAAACGTGCACATCAGCAAAGTGAGGCTAGCAGAGAGAACTCCACTACCCTACTTTGGTTCTGACCATGGGAAACAAACTCTAAAAAAAACATAGAATTGTTACAACTTTTCAAGTCACACCCAAACATTAACTGTGCACTATGTTCTGTGTATATCTGTGAAAAACATCATTAAAAATGTCAAAATTCAACATTTTTACCTCCTGATAAATCATGTGAGATTCTAGGATTTATCTCCTTCAAATGTTCACATAACTTCTGTTTCACCTATAAATGTAATTGATGGAAAAAAACAATTATATATTACCTGACTATTAATTACAATGGTTTGATCCACAGAGTGTTAAAAATTATCCCATTAGAAACCATGGTGAACTTTTAGGATAAACACAATTTCCCCATTCTGCAATTACAGTAATTACATCTTGAATACTGCACAATTATTTATCTTCAATTATCTGGCTGGGGTCGCCATGTTCAATGATTTTTTTTTTTTGACAAGAAACAATAAAAATCTGCATCATTTAAATTAATAAACTATCACAATTAAAAGCTAAAATATGCTATGCATATATCTTACATGTAATTCATAAAGATTAGCTTTATTAGGCTCTGGTATTGACTTTGGTATACAGGCATGCCAGGAGAAAACACAATGACCAAGCTCAGGAAGCTGTAATAAATCCATATTAAAGAAATAAATACAACAAACAAACTAATTAGGAGTTAAATTGTTTAAGTACATGATTGGCTTGGGAAATGCCTTTGTACGGGACAAAGCAGCTACGTCTCTGGCAGCTTATTTATCAGCAAAAAAGAAATATCAACAAATTAAAAGATAAAAATTTATAAATACTCCTCTAACTGAAAAACTTGGTACATGATCTTTAATTTGCAACAAGCTGTTCAGTGATACCTGTATTTCCTCCTTGTTGTTCCCCTTTCCTTCCTCTAGCAGCTTTACTGTCTCTTCATCTAAATCTCTCAAGTGTGTGTTAAAAGGATCTACAGAAAAGAGAATATGATAATAAAAGGTATAATCTGTGTTTGAAAATGTCTATGTCCACATATCCTGCAAATCTACTTATCTTTCCCAAATCACACCATAAATAAGATAAAAATCTCAGAAAGACATAAAGGTCTTAACATTACAGGAAAATAAATTATTTAATTTAAAAATGGTACATAACATCCAATTCTAGTGCAAGGATTTGTAAAGCAATAATTCACAAGTAGAAGAAAATTACTTTTTTCCAGGAATATTCAAATTGGCTGGAAGATCCCACACAGGATCCCATACCTTTAAGCAATGCAACACTATCTAGGATCTCAACCGAAAGACCAAGTCTAAAATGCACTTATTGACTTTAACAGAAAAAAATATGAAACTTTACCACTTTTCCTATCTGGTACATTTTGTTCAGTTGCCTGTTCCTCTTCTGATTCTTCTTCCGAGTCTGTGCTAATACCAGTTTCATCCTCTTCAGTCTCTTCAACAGATATATCTGACTGTATATCATCTTGAGTACTTGTTTTTTCATGTGTCTTAATATTTTTCTTTTCTTTCTGAAAAGTACTTTCTTCTATTCCTTCCTCTTCACTCTCAGTTTCTCTTTCCTCTTCCAGTTCTTTGACTGTGTCTGTCTTGCTTTCATCCTCCGATGTTTCATCTCCAGACATTTCATCTTCTGATGACAATTCTTTGTCTGATAAAAAAAAACAAACAAAACAAAAAGTGATATGTGTAATCCATATCCGATAATCAAATTAAGTTTTTCAACAATTTTTTCTCTAAAATATGAAACTGGATCTATGACTCAAAAGTAACATATCATAAGGAAAAAGTTAGAATCTCAAGCTTGTAATCTTTGGGTTTCGTTCACATTTGAAAAACACTTCAATATTATATATTGTAAACCACTTAGTGTCAACAATGTCAGGGCAAAATATTGCTGAATTTTCATGCTTGAAGTCTTACTCAAGAAAAATTCTCACATAAAAGGCCAGGAAATTGATAAATTACTTGTTTTTTTGCACAAGCAAATGTAAGTCATTTAAAACAGAATTATTGTAGTTCAATATTTTTGGTGAAAAAGCAACCGAAAATACATTTTCGTTTAGTAGGAGCATTACTTCTTTGGCCCTGCTGGTCCTTTGGACTTGACAAAGCCCCAGGGTTTTTGCCATGTCTGTTTTACCTTTCAGTGATTTATTTTTTGACATTGTTGACATGAGAACTTGATATGGATTGACTTCTTCCTCTTCCTCATCGCTTGAACTGGAAAGTTCCTGCAAAAAATTAATAAAATAGGTTGGAAAACAATAGGATGAACTATCAAATGAGGGTAACGAATAAGCAGGCATGTTTTAAATTTTGGCTTATCTATTCCTTTTTAAACATGTAAGCATGCAAACAAAGGATTCAACTTTAGGCTACTATTTATAAAATATCAATACATTCAATGTCAATGTTGAAACATTAAATTTGGAACATCAAATAAACATAAATCTGAAATGGATTGTCTGCCAACAAATACGAAAGAAGGTCTTTGGTTAGGATGGCTTTTAAAAGTACCCAGATGTCTCTTTGAGAGTGAAGAAAGATACCAACACGTACATGGCTCGCGATACCTTTTTCCCAATTTTGCCTAATTCAAGGTATTTCTTTGGTTGACCACAAAAAGAAGTCATGTACATAAACTAGTACAAAGAATAAGTACATACCACAAAATAGGTCTAGCACTTTAATTCTTTATTTACTGACAGGATTTTCCAAAAAAAGTCTGGCATAAAGCCTAAACTGTAGCAAGCAGCAAAACTTTAGGCCTTAAACTGGGACAAAGAGCTAGCACACATACCTGTAGAGAGGAAGTCAATGGTTCATCTTTAACTTTTTTGTACTTTGTCTTTGGGACACTCCTGCAAAATGAATTTAGAAATGAGAATAAATATTGATGTGTTCACAACCTTGGAGATTTCACATCTTATGACAATATACTCTATATCTAACATGGCCAACTTTAAACACCATTCAGATATCATATTAACAACAATATGACACTTTCTACAGTCCACATATGCCTTTAAGCAAACTTGATATTTCCCAAAAAATAAACCATTCCTTGACTCAATCCTTTAGAGTATATGGTTTTTTTCTAGAAATAAATTACAAGATTTATCTTAATCTTATATAAGCTTATATCAACGACAACATACTACGAAGGACAATCACTTCTCATAAACATCCCTCCTTGTGATATTACACTAAAAGACTCAAGTGTAACTGTCCGAGAATTGAACTGTCCAGAGCAGCTGTAGCAGTTATACGGTGTAAATATTACTCCTGTTTGCTGTGGCACTACTAGTATATTACTGACATATACTGCATGGCACAGAATCACTATCAGTATTTTTAAATAAATTATACTATCAAATTAAAATTGATCACTGTAGTAGTACATACCAGTACTACCCAATAATGCTACTAACACAATTAGTTAATATTTAACAAGTTAATATTTATCCATAAGTTCTTACTCTTCATCTGCTGGATGAATCTCTCCAAACTGCTTTATGTGCTTTTTATCCTTTTTATTCGTTTTACCGGCGAAAAACTTGCGTTTTTTCGTAGTTTGTTTTCTTCCACGCTTTCCCTTGGGCCGCGCCATGTTTGTTGACCTACTTGTTGTCAACATTGTTTCTGATTGGACGAAAAAGGTTAGTTCCTTGTGATTGATTCACGTGACTCTTCATGTGACAAGTCGGACAACAACAGAAAATGGCGAAGTTTGTGCTGCTTGTGTGTGCGACCTTTTTAGCCGTGTTTTCTCCAGTGCGAAGTTTTGGTGAACCGAAAAATATAGATCCTAATGACGAAGGAGCTCAAAAGGCATTGGGTTTCGCCATGACTAGGGTGAACGAAGCTTCTAATTCCATGTTCCAAGGAAAGGCCGTGAAGACGGTCAGCGTCACCAAACAGGTAAGACTTACTACGGTTACGCCAAAGGAAACAAGTCCTGGATGTTTTTTCAAAATTAGGATATGTGGCGACCTTGATCAGCCTTTGCTGTTTTAATAAATTGCTTTTGCAATTTATCTGATTTGAAATTACCCCGCTCTCATTTTCATATGGATGGACTTGAAGTTTCCTGAATTGTTTATTAATTGAGTGTATACAGTAAGTAGTACAGGATGAGTCTCCACAAACTTAATTTAGCAAAATAATTAAATTCATCTAGCCCAGTTCAAATGATTGAATCAGAAGTTTAGTTTTTGTATTCGCATACTCAGTATTTATTATTTTTGTTTTTAAAATTGTTATATGCATTTTTTTTTTTCGAATATGCAAGACTCACCCTTTAAGAAATTGGTGGAAAATGCCTTATTTTCAAATTTGAATGGGCATTGTAGTAAAACTATGATAGTTAAAGCTCTAAAATTTTGCAAATTGGTGTGATACCATATTAAGAACATTTTCTGTAAATTTCAATTCAAAATATTTCTTACATTATGAAGTAGAACTCTTTATATGTGCTGCAAATCATAATTCTTAGACTTGTCATCTATTGCGTTTAGGGAGCTGTTGGAAGATTTTCTGGTTGTTATCAATATCAACAAATGTGCAAGCCAATCTGTCATTGCCAACACATGTTCACCAATATTGTTCACTGATCTATTACTTTCATAGCCTATTCTAAGCTTTTGTACATGACAATTGGTCACCAAGCATTGCCAAATGCGTTTGACTCGACAAAGTGTACTTGCACGGACAGCAGATCTGCCTCCAGTTATTCTCAACTTGTTCTAGGTTATAATTCCTTGGCTTTCTATAAATTGATTTGACATTTTTGTTGCATAATTGATAGTGCTTTAAAATGTAAACAGGCATGTGATTTGAGTTTTCATTTGAAAAGAAATAACAAAGACTCAAACCAATTCTCAACCTTTGCTAAAAATGGATATTTGTAAGGATGTTCTTTATTAAAATTAAAGATCACTTATGTAACCTGTCTTGTAATATAACTATTGTAGCCCGTCTCTAGCAGCATTTCTATTTTTTTGAAGTTGTTGATTTCTTGATGGTGAGTCTTACTAAATTTAGAAAATTTTGGAAATCAACTAGCCCAGTCCATATGATAGAATCAGAATAATGAAAGTTAAATTATTTTGTTTTTTGTTTAGTTTTTGTATTTGCTCATTTGTTATATATATATATATATATATATATATATTTTTTTTTTTTCTTCAAATGCTAGAGACTTGAGATTTGGTATGGGGCTGCATATTTGGGCTTGGAGAAGAATATAAGAATTTTTTAGCCTTGTAATTGAAATCAAAAGATGTTAATGCTTTAGTGATACTTTTTTTTTTAATTATGGTTATGAGAATTTCTCAAACAGAGTAACATGAACGTGATGGGATATTGGTTGGCAAATGTGAAAAAAATGCTAAATTTGACACAATTTGGCCTAAAGCATATGCAGTACCTGTACACCTTGACCTCTTAATATATGACTATAACTAAAAGAATTTTTTTTCATGATGAGTGACAATAATTCTTTCTTCAACAAAAATTAAGTTGATCAAGTAGACTTAGATATTTCAGAAGAAACTTATCTTTGTGAAGCAGTAGAAATCAGTTTAGTTTTATTACTTCTTTTAAAGACTGATTGGCAAATGTCAGATTTGACCTTTTCAAATTATAATTTTGATAATTCTTCTATTTTATAGCTTGTTGCAGGAATTAAGTGGACATTCAAGTATGACTTTGGCTACACCAAGTGTGATAAATGGGCAGATTTGGAAAAGCTGCCATTTGCTGAGTGCAATAGAGTGACAGAAGTAAGATATTTTCCTGACTTAAAGTACTTTTGTGCATTTTACACCATTCAATATTCTATGCTAATGCAGTGATTAACTGATTTGATTCAGTACAGCAAATGAAAAGCTAAAAGATCATTTTTTTAACACCAGTAAGGTGGAACCCTAATTTATACCTAATAAGAAAGTAATGATTTTATTTTTCAAAGTTTTATCATTTAAACCTGTGTCAATTTTTTTTAAAACAAGGTCCAGAGGTGCAGTGTGTCTGTTTTGGAGCAGGTTTGGGAAACTCCAAGGTACAAGCTGCTGGACATGCCTAAATGCACAGAAGCTGTGAGCAAAGATCAAACAAAACCAGAAAAAACATTGAAAAAAGACTCTCAGATCGAGGAGATTGTTAAAGAGTTTGAGGCCAGCCCTTTACTGATTGGGGGTGTAGTAAGTATTTAATTGATTTACTTTTTTTCTGTTTTAGATAATTTTCAGAATACTGGATGAAAAACACTATTACCATTAGCAGACTTAATTTGTGCTGATATTCATTTTATGGCACAGTTGGGAACCATGTAAATTTTTAGTTTCATATTTTTAGCCCATGTCGGATAACAAACTCTTGGACCAGCATAAAAAGATGTTTCTGGAGTTTAAGCAGAAATTCCAAAAGACATACAAAGATGATCTTGGTGAGATTTTCTTTTCTTAGCTAAAATGATTTGTGTATTAATGAATAAGAAAGAATAGTTTGCTCCTTTCTATGAATGTTTGTTTCATTGTACAAAATTTTGAAAGATTTTCATGGCTGTTATGAACAAAGGAATATAGTTGTTGTTTGCGATTGATATCTGTATTGAAGTTGTCATATGACAAAAGATTTGTATCCAGGTCACAGGGGCATTTATCACACTTTGATGATAAAGGAAGAAGGTATCTCTAAGTTACCAAACAATTGCCATTTGTCATTTTCAGAGGAGCAATATCGTTTCCGTATCTTTCATGAAAACATGAGAGTTGTTGACCTTCTGAACAAGAATCCTGATGACAGTGCAACATATGGAGCCACAAAGTTTGCAGATCTGTCCAGTAAGAATTGGTTGCAGAAATATGTATTTAGTGAAGAAAATGTGTTTGAAAATGTTGTGCATTGATATATATCTTAATGTTATGAAGTAGATGTTTATGCTCTTATAGAAAAACATTTTGACATGAGAGTAAATGAAAGAATTTTACTTAGTGTTCATAATCAGTTTGCTACTGTATGTAAATTTCATTTTGAATTAATAAAATTATAAATATGTAAGAAAGAATGGCAGATTAAAATAAATCAGTAAATGTATTTCTGCTTATTAATTACTTCCAATATAATACTTGCATGTTTCACCCCAAATGTATGTTTGTATGTGTACAAATGCACTTTGCTTTTTTTTCCAATTTATAGGAGACGAATTTAAGCAGTTCCTTGGCCTGAACACAAAACTGAACAAAGGGAATAGAAACATGAAGCGAGCAGTGATCCCTAAAAGCTCGCCACCAGCGGCATTTGACTGGAGGGACCATGGCGCTGTCACCAAAGTCAAAAACCAGGTAGTAAATGTGGTCTTATATACTGCACTATACATGAATCTCAGTGTGGTTTACAGTGGGTGCCTGGTCATTTTTGGCCCTATTACAGATTTGGTGTTGAGGCTCTAGCCTCCCTGGTGGGGGTACAGCCAAGCTGCTGTATGAGGCACTGAAAGCTAGCAAACAAACAATAAGCTTCACTGCCAGATCAGGAACTTTACCCTTGCTTCAGTACAATATAAAGTGGTATCTGTTATCAGTCATTGTTGAATTATTAATTATCTTTAGTTTTGCATTTTTTTTTTTTGTTATCTTAAATTGGGTAATATAGGTTACTTTCTTTTGTGGTTCTTAGGTTGTACAAATTGAGATGAAAGGTAATTGTGATTTAAATCATCATCAAATATATGATGTTCTTGAATTTTTGTTTGTCTAAAAATCTAGCACCATTGATCAATGTTTTCAGGGTTCCTGTGGTTCTTGCTGGGCATTTTCAACCACAGGAAACATAGAAGGGCAGTGGGCTATCAAGAAAAAGGCACTTGTGCCTTTATCTGAACAAGGTGTGTTTTTGTATGTGCTATATTTTTTTCCTCACTAAATTACCATTATCTTCAAAAATTGTGTCCGTTTGATCTTTGTAGACACTGCCTAATTATGTGTTGTTGTAAATGCCATGTCTTTTCTATAATGACGCTGTATAAACATCTGAATAATATTGATACTCTCACAGCAGTAATTTTTTTTCATAACTTGTTGATTGTGAAATTTTGATATGTTCACAGCAGTTATTTTCATTTCAGAACTTGTTGATTGTGACAAGCTGGATGAAGGCTGTAATGGAGGGCTTCCAAGTAACGCATACGAGGAAATCGTACGATTGGGTGGCTTAGAATCAGAAACTAAGTACCCTTACGAGGGAGAAGATGAAAAATGTGCCTTTGTCAAGAGTGATGCCAAGATTTACATCAACGGCTCTGTAAACATCTCCAAGGATGAGTCAGGTTAGAGATCATGTCAGATAAGACCTTGATTGATGTTGATTTTCATATTTGTTTTGCTTGATATTGTAGTGTATTTTATTCCTACATATGAGTGTCCAAAAACTTTGTGCTATAACATTAGCCAGGTAAAATTATATTTAAAAAAAAGGATTTATGTGGAATTGAAGAAAATGTAGTGAACCCTTAAGTATTTAAACCTTTTAGATTTATGATCCTTCTTCACAGTTAGTTTTTCTTTGCCCATTTATTCTTAAGAGNTTATTGCATCAAAATTGACAAAATGACCATTTTTTGCATCTTTATTTTCTGTTTTTTGTCTGTACATTTGACAGCTTTGCTGCCTTGTTCAAATTATAATTTTGATAATTCTTCTACTTTATAGCTTGTTGCAGGAATTAAGTGGACATTCAAATATGACTTTGGCTACACCAAGTGTGATAAATGGGCAGATTTGGAAAAGCTGCCAGTTGCTGAGTGCAATAGAGTGAAAGAAGTAAGTAATTTACCTGACTTGAAAGTACTTTTGTGCATTTTACACCATTCATGTTATACACTAATGCAGTGATTAACTGATTCGATTTAGTACAGCAAATGAAAAGCTAAAAGATCATTTTTTTAAACACCAGTAAGGTGGAACCCCAATTTATACTTAATAAGAAAGTAATGATTTAATTTTTCAAAGTTTTATCATTTAAACCTGTGTCAATTTTTTTTTAAACAAGGTCCAGAGGTGCAGTGTGTCTGTTTTGGAGCAGGTTTGGGAAACTCCAAGGTACAAGTTGCTGGACATGCCTAAATGCACAGAAGCTGTGAGCAAAGATCAAACGAAACCAGAAAAAATGTTGAAAAAAGACTCTCAGATCGAGGAGATTGTTAAAGAGTTTGAGGCCAGCCCTTTACTGATTGGGGGTGTAGTAAGTATTTAATTGATTTACTTTTTTTCTGTTTTAGATAATTTTCAGAATACTGGATGAAAAACACTATTACCATTAGCAGACTTAATTTGTGCTGATATTCATTTTATGGCACAGTTGGGAATCATGTAAATTTTTAGTTTCATATTTTTAGCCCATGTCGGATAACAAACTCTTGGACCAGCATAAAAAGATGTTTCTGGAGTTTAAGCAAAAATTCCAAAAGACATACAAAGATGATCTTGGTGAGATTTTCTTTTCTTAGCTAAAATGATTTGTGTATTAATGAATAAGAAAGAATAGTTTGCTCCTTTCTATGAATGTTTGTTTCATTGTACAAAATTTTGAAAGATTTTCATGGCTGTTATGAACAAAGGAATATAGTTGTTGTTTGCGATTGATATCTATATTGAAGTTGTCATATGACAAAAGATTTGTATCCAGGTCACAGGGGCATTTATCATACTTTGATGATAAAGGAAGAAGGTATCTCTAAGTTACCTAACAATTGCCATTTGTCATTTTCAGAGGAGCAATATCGTTTCCGTATCTTTCATGAAAACATGAGAGTTGTTGACCTTCTGAACAAGAATCCTGATGACAGTGCAACATATGGAGCCACAAAGTTTGCAGATCTGTCTAGTAAGAATTGGTTGCAGAAATATGTATTTAGTGAAGTAAATGTGTTTGAAAATGTTGTGCATTGATATATATCTTAATGTTATGAAGTAGATGTTTATGCTCTTATAGAAAAACATTTTGACATGAGAGTAAATGAAAGAATTTTACTTAGTGCTCATAATCAGTTTGCTATGTGAATTTCATTTTTAATTAATAAAAATTCTTAATATGTAAGAAGGAATGACAAATTAAACATAAATCAGTAAATGCATTTTCTGCTTATTCATTACTTCCAACATAATATTTGCATGTTTCACCCCAAATGTATATATGTATGTATGTAAGTATGTATGTGTACAAATGCACTTTGGTTTTTTTTTTTTTTTTTTTTTTTTTTTTTCAATTTATAGGAGATGAATTTAAGCAGTTCCTTGGCCTGAACACAAAACTGAACAAAGGGAATAGAAACATGAAGCGAGCAGTGATCCCTAAAAGCTCGCCACCTGCAGCATTTGACTGGAGGGACCATGGCGCTGTCACCAAAGTCAAAAACCAGGTAGTAAATGTGGTCTTATATACTGCACTACACATGAATCTCAGTGTGGTTTACAGTGGGTGCCTGGTCATTTTTGGCCCTATTACAGATTGGGTGTTGAGGCTCTAGCCTCCCTGGTGGGGGTACAGCCTAGCTGCTGTATGAGGCACTGAAAGCTAGCAAACAAACAATACCCTTCACTGCCAGATCAAGAACTTTACCCTTGCTTCAGTACATTTTATAGTGGTATCTGTTATCAGTCATTGTTGATTTTTGATTACTTTCTTTTATGGTTCTTAGGTTGTATAAATTGAGATGAAAGGTAATTGTGATTTAAATCATAATCAAATATATGATGTTCTTGAATTTTTGTTCGTCTAAAAATCTAGCACCATTGATCAATGTTTTCCAGGGTTCCTGTGGTTCTTGCTGGGCATTTTCAACCACAGGAAACATAGAAGGGCAGTGGGCTATCAAGAAAAAGGCGCTTGTGCCTTTATCTGAACAAGGTGTGTTTTTGTATGTGCTATATTTTTTTCCTCACTAAATTACCATTATCTTCAAAAATTGTGTCCGTTTGATCTTTGTAGACACTGCCTAATTATGTGTTGTTGTAAATGCCATGTCTTTTCTATAACGACGTTGTATAAAAAACTGAATAATATTGATACTCTTGCAGCAATTATTTTTATTTCAAAACTTGTTGATTGTGAAATTTGATATGCTCACAGCAGTTATTTTTATTTCAGAACTTGTTGATTGTGACAAGCTGGATGAAGGCTGTAATGGAGGACTTCCAAGTAATGCATATGAGGAAATCATACGATTGGGAGGCTTAGAAACAGAAACTAAGTACCCTTACGAAGGAGAAGATGAAAAATGTGCCTTTGTCAAGAGTGATGCCAAGATTTACATCAACAGCTCTGTTAACATCTCCAAGGATGAGTCAGGTTAGAGATCATGTCAGATAAGACCTTGATTGATGTTGATTTTCATATTTGTTTTGCTTGAAGTTGTAGTGTATTTTATTCCTACATATGAGTGTCCAAAAACTTTGGGCTATAACATTAGCCAGGTAAAATTATATTTAAAAAAAAGGATTTATGTGGAATTGAAGAAAATGTAGTGAACCCTTAAGTATTTAAACCTTTTAGATTTATGATCCTTCTTCACAGTTAGTTTTTCTTTGCCCATTTATTCTTAAGAGTTTTATGTGGTGCACTGATATATATCATGCATGCTAAATTCCGTATTTATACGTGGGATATGAACCAAAAAATAAAACAGCAGACATTTGCAAATTTATTAAAAGTTTTGGAGAAAGGCTTCATATCTACTACATTTCAGGAATAATTTGAATTGATGTTTTCAACTTGCAGAGATAGCTGCCTGGCTTGCTCAGAATGGACCCGTCTCTATTGGTATCAATGCTTTTGCTATGCAGGTAATGGAAACAATCTATAAAACTTGGGTTTTATTATTTTAAAACTCTGGGACAAGGGTTTCAGGTTAATGATATCTTTAAAAAAAGTCCTTTCCCACAGTAATCAGAAAATATCTTTGATGTTGATTTAAAATAAGTATTGTGAGTGCTTCATTTAATAGAAATTATTTTCAGTGCTAACATATTACTATGGCAACAATTACTGCTGTTCAAATTTGTTTGGTTAAATAGTTTTTTCTCAAGAAGACCATTCTAACCTCTTATGTTGAACTATCATATGAATACATTGTAGATTGTATTCATACAGTGTTTTAATTGGAGCTACTAGAATTAACTTTTTTATTTCATTTTCAGTTCTACTTCGGAGGAGTCAGCCATCCCTGGAAAATTTTCTGCAACCCTGACTCCCTAGATCATGGTGTATTGATTGTTGGTTACGGTACCTCAAGTAAGCATTCGTTCATAAATACTTCTGTTCTTATGAAAATTGCAAAGTTTTGCTTGTTAAAAAGTTTAAGCATTAATTGAAAATTTAAAGTTGTAGTAAGGATCTGTATTCTAAATTGTTTCCATACTCTAGAATGGTGTGTGTGTGTGTTGGGCTTTCAGGTAAGTTTCTAATTAAGATGTTATAATTGGTTTACTGTGTATTCAGGCAAAAGCTCCTTGTTAACAATTTTTTTAGTGTTGCAGAATATGGTATTATTTTGTCTTCACCCTGCTTCATTTTACTGTTTGATATCTAGGTTCAGGTGAACCATATTGGATTGTGAAGAATAGTTGGGGTGAAAGCTGGGGGGAAAAGGTAGGAGATTAAAATTTATTTTATTTTATTTCATTCATTTTAGCTTGTAATTTAGAACTAAATTCAATTTACAGATACCTGTATCGTAATGTGGTTATAAGTTGAATTTAAGGTTTATTTGATGGTTGAGAGACTACATAATTTGATTTAGTATTTACCTACAATTTGTTTTCTCTTAAGATATCTCTGTGGAAATCAATGCACTGAGTAGCATTTTCACATTTAGTAATCAGTAAACTTATGTGGCGTTTAATGTTTAATTCCAGGGCTACTATTTGGTGTACCGGGGTGATGGAACTTGTGGTTTGAACCAGATGTGCACTTCAGCAGTAGTGGAGTAATTATATGAGGTGGACTTCTACTTTGAGAAAGGAAGAACATTGCTTCCCATGCATTCACCTTAAACTGAACAATTCATTATAAAGCCATTCATTCATTATGCTGCTGAAAATGTATTTTTTTTTTTTTTTTTTTTTTTTTTACATGAACAACAAAATTGTCATAGCTGTCAAGGCATGTCTTGCACTGCATGCTGTAGATCTCGTTCTAACCAAGATCATCTAATAGAAAATGCGCAGATTCATATGCATAATAACTGTTTATTGGACTGTATTAAATCTGTATTTTATACCATAAACAAGAGATCTGTATTTGTTCCATGTAGATTATTAAACTTTGGTTGCATTTTGAACATTTTAAGCTATTCTTTCAGACTTTGTGTTAAATCTGTATTTTATACCATAACCAAGAGATCTGTATTTGTTTCTTGTAAATTTTTAAAACTTAGGTTCCATTTTGAATAATTTCAGATTTTCTTTTTCTTGGGGCAATGTCTTTTGAAAAAAAAATGACATTCAATTAAGTATGTACAACTGCCTCTCTTCTTCCTCCTTGGGTCTCGTTAAGATCTACTGTTTGCATATCAAAGAATTATCAGAGTGGTCACTTTGTAATGTGTAGACCTACTTCTTGAGCTACTTCATTTGTCTAGCAGGAATATTGTCTTCAGAAAGTTTAGACTCTATATATTTAATTTTTAAAGTCTATTTATATTTAGAAATGATACAGATAGTAATGTTGAGTTAACCAAATCTCTTAGGAATTGTATTTAATGGTGATTATTAGCATGTGTAGGATATTTTGAGTTTAAAATAAATACCTCTACTCTGCCTGGTGCAGTTTGGTATGTATTTGTGATGTCAATGCATTTGCACTTTAGTCAAATAAAAATTGTAGAATAACTACAGATTTTCTTATTTGCATATTTCCGACTGCTGAAAGCTAGTGTTGCACATTTTCAAGTTGGTGAACAATGAAAACCCAAACATTCTAAGAACCAAGTGGTGTTTTATTAGTTAACATCTTACAAGCAGCTTTTTCCAAGCCAATAGTTAACCCCCCCCCCCCCCCCCTTTTAAAGAGGGTTAACGTGTCTGCCCTGTATTCAAGTTGGTACCTCTTAACGTTATTTTGCTATTTGGGGCTGCATTCCCCTTAACTGCCCCCTGCACATACCCGTAACCATATATACACGCACACAGGTAAACAAATATCATGCCATTGCCATTGGACGTGCTTATTAGATTTATTGCCAAAATTGCTCTAAAGCAGAGTATTATCAACAACAACACAGATATCTCGACCAAATTTTATTCCAATCAATAATATAACAATAGAAATTAGATATGAACATTGAACATTTTCAAATTCGATATACTCTTGTGTAAAGGTTGTCACAACTTTTAAACGCAACACAAAAATATGTTGTAGAAAAATACTTATTTAATTAACACAATATATATAGATATAAATTTTTGACGTGAAATTATTAATAGCCCCCTATAGTCTTGTTTAGAGGTAGTCAAATTTTAAATTCAAAACAAAAGTACAAGCAAGTTGTTAAACAATACCGAAACATTTACCCAAAACATGGGCATAATCTGAGATCCCAGCCAAAATTTAGTCCAATACCAATAATAATGACAGATATTAGATATGAACGTTGAACATTTTCAACATAAAGGCAGTTTTATGAAGAGGTAGTTAAATTTTAAATTCAATACAAAAGTACAAATATGCTGTAAAACAATACTGAAACATTTAACAAAACGTATATAAATATATATAATTTCTCATTACAAAATGTATAATGTAAACAAAAATAATAAATATCACAAAATATATTGACTGACATTTATCACGTTTAGAAAAGACAATAAAACAATAAAAACAATAAAACCGGTACTAGGCATAAGACATGTTCACTTCTATGTTCATCACTTGAACCATAAGAATTAATCCTACCAAAATCTAACCTTAATTTAATTTGAGGTTTGAACTGCTTTCTCTAAAAGCCAGTCGATCACACACTCGGTTTCGTGGGCCACTTTCATTCCCACCATGCCGTTGGTCCAGGTATCGCTAAAACTAAAGTTGTCCGAAAGGTTTTTGAGAATTCTTTGGATTCTTCTCTGTCGGTTGCCACAGTGTTCGGGGTCGACATCAGAGGCGTCGGACATAATACACAACAATCTCTCTAGGCCCATAGAAGAGTGGTGGGTGAAGTTTCTGGTTGCGTGTGATACCGATTGAGATTGAGGAGAATTGTTCTCGCTTTCCTTCAGAAGCTCAACCTTTGCCTTTATCTCACGGAGCCGTTCGTAAACATCCTATAGCAAAAATTATAAATTAGGAAAGTGGTTTTGTTTTGTCACTCTAAAACTGCTTAGTTTGCTGGTGAATCAGGCAACACATTCTGTTAAAAACTTCCACTCAAAACTATGTCAAAAAATTGCTTTACAAAGCCCTGTGAAAGTCTTTATTTAGCAAGATAAAATGGATTTTTTTCTTTTCCTGAATTTTATCTTGAAAACCGCATATTTCAAACAGGCCCAAGACAGCGCAGGTATCCGCCAATGCAATTCAACTACTATAATTTATTACTTGATTGATTAATTAACTAATCACAAAAACCTCATCGATCGTTAAGTTAGCCAATTTCCGACCGATACTGAAAAATTTTTGAACTAGACAAACCAATAACAAAAACATAACTTCCTTGGTGGAAGAAAAATGTGGCATTTAACTTTGAAAAGTTTATATAATAGATTACAGTGGCGGATTTGGGGGGGGGGGGCAGGGGGTCCTCAAACCTTACCCCCCTTACCCTACCAATGACCACCTCCTGAAATTCTGACGAGCTAAACCATAGTTCAAAACCGTAACAAATGGCACGGTTCGCCCTTTAAAATACCAAAAATTTGGCGGCCCTTTAGCGGGCCCCAGATCCTACGCCAAGGGGAGGGGGGTTGGCTTCGCAGCCGCGGAGCCCCCCCCTCCCCCCTTTCAAATAATCTTGGATCCGCCCTTGGATTAATCAATGATGCCCTTTTGATATGTTTCTACATGGGAAAACTAATAGTACCTCAATTGTGTACAGATAGTTCTTCACACAAGAACAATCCAGGCATCCTTTTGGGATATCCACATCTCCAAGACACTGTCCTGCGACTTGGAGTCGATAATCAAGGTGGGGTCCGTCTTTCTAAACGACACAAAAACGTGAGCTTAAACCATGTTTTTCAAAAAATGCTAGTTGGTATATGGAAGCAGAAAACATGAAAATTTTAGAGGGATGAAAGCTAGTAATACAGCATGGTCAGAGAGAAATTATTTTTAACACAGTTGTTTTCTGTACACAAAAACATATTTTATTACTCCCAGATTTGATTGGGTTGTCCAAAAATAACGAGGAAACGTAGAGAATATTGTGCTATACTTTTAAAACTGAAAGACATTGCTTGAATGCACTCTGTTAGAAGTATGTTTAATTGTGTATATTTATTCAACTTACTGCATGGTGTGCTTTAGAGAATGACAAGGTGGCCCTCTTGAAAGCCAGCACTTGACGGATGAAGTCAGCGTCTCTCAAGATACTTTCGTCTTTGCTCTTAGCACACCCTAAAATCAACAAAAAAAGGTTATTAAATTTATTATTTTTCTTTAACTCCTTTGATTCCCAGATTTACAGTTTTATTTATTATTTTTTCCCCTCAATTTCAAGCCCATGAAGCCTGGGCCAACATAAGGTTTTAAAAAGATGATTATCACAATCAATACTCGACGCGTATCAATTTTACCTTGCAATAAATTGCAGTTGTCTGCAGTGCTGCAGGGTTGGTTGATAAGACACTGGGCAGTTCGTCCTCGTGAAGTCAGGGCTCTGTGACAGCCGTGAGAATGACGTTGGCCTGAGGCGGTCATCAAGTGGGCGGCCATCACTGTTAACACCACTGCAAGCACCAGTGAACTTTTGCCTTGAAAACATACAGCACGCCTGAGTGATTATTATATATATATGACATTCGTCTGTGATCAGATAAATGTGCCTCGACATCTCAAATGAAAGAGGGGTGCAGAAAGAGAGAGAGAGAGTAAATGACACAGAGCATTTGAGAAAATAATACCGATCTCTGTTTTCTGTTTTTGGTGTTTGTGTATTGCTGGTATCTCTGTGACTCTGTATTTCTTCGTTTTGAAACGTTACATTTTCTGTTGGATCAACTTATACGTCTGCTCTCAGGTCAGGATGTTCCAATCGAGAAGCACTTTTGTTCAGACTTATTCTCAATATCTCTCATTTTCCATGGTGCCTAAGTGACCCATTTCTCTTTTACAAATGGTGTCACATTTGCGCAAAAAGTCATCATTAGAAAGCAAAATTATATTTTTCGAAAACAGAGCTATTAGAATGTTAAAAACTCATCATAAATTTACAAAGTGGTAGGGCAGAATTTCAGCTCTCTGTCCATCAGATATTTTCTTCACATGTCAGATGCAGTCCCAGTGCTGTACGTGATAACAGGGCAGTGCACTTGCAGGTTTCAGTTTTACTTCCTGTTTGCGATAACGTACGTTATAACCATAATCCCCAATTTATGGTTCAATTTATGTAAACCCTAGTCTTCTAAGCCAAAGAAATGTCCGTGTCGACCAATGTCGGACATGAAGATATATTATCACGTGAAAATGAAATAATGATATGGTAGGTAACCATCTTTCTTTTGCATTGCTTTTGAGAATCATAATTTCCTTTTCGCGTGTATTTCATGATAGACCCAGACTTTGATACAATGAATATTTTCACTGAACGCTCTTATAAATATTTTCAGATAAGTTTGCAAGGAGTTGGATTTGTGATAGAATTTCTACTGGTTTAAATGTTATACTCTTGATGTCAAGTCCCACAGATCATGGAACTAAAAGGAGGAACAAAGTCCGGTGTATCCAGGATATCAAGTAGGCCTACGTCATAGAAGGTCAAGCATTCACTGTCCCTAACCCCCCTCAACCTAACCCCCCTCACCTGAAACAACTTATGCCAATTTAATCAGAATGTACATCCTAACACGGGACTTCTCATGTTCCTTGTAAGATCTCAGACAGGTCAGAACTCTGAAATTGCCAGCATGCGACAGCGATCAAAACCCGAGCAACCCAGTACTTAAGAAAAGCTAACAGGTTTTGAATGAGATCGGGTTGAATGAGTTTGGGTTTGTCTTCCCCCTTCCCGATACCCTCAACCAAGGCCACAAATTGATTTTTCACTTGTTATCTCTATCTGGCTATTTCTATTCTTTTTTCTCTACTCCCCAGCGAGAATTTTTGCAAAGAACTGATGCCATCTCTCAGCTGGCCGCTAATAGAGAGTACCTTCTCGTTGCGCGAACACGGAATACGGTGGTGTGAGCGGAAGCGCCCATCTGATCGAACGGTAAAGGAAGGTCAGAGTGCAACTCAGACTACTGGACACGGAAGTCGGTATGGTCCCCAGTTGCGGTCAAAGAAGTCGTGACAATTTTTCGCAACACTGGTAAACAGCTTCCTAGATCGAGTGAGTGGGTTCGCCGGGAGCAACAACCCACCCGCTAAATATAAACTCACACACGTCTGTAAGTGCCCCTGGTCATGCTTTTCGTAAGCCAACGCAACGTGCGGGCGCACGCGCGCGCGTGTGTGTGTGCACGTGCACTTGCAAAACTCCAGCACTAATTACAATCTTATGTCTCTTTAATGAACAGAAAATTCAGAATGAAAATTTTGACCTCGCGAAAGAAATGGGGTAAAGGGTACCTTTGCATGCATTACAATTTGAATATCGCTACATTGCATGTTTTAATCAGAACTACAATTGAACGTTGAATAAAATTTAAGATATCAGTTTTCATTAAAATATATACATAACATTCAGTTTTATGCTCACAGATGACTTTGATTTTAGGCGAGTAAAATTGTCGTCTATGCAAACCAGACTGTTAAATATCTTCATCGTGTTTTCAGATAAAATTCAAACTTTGGCACCAGCAGAGCGATTATGTCAAATTTCGTGAGAACTATCCCTTTCACTTGTTTTTCTCTTGAAATTATTAATTAAACTACTACGGCAAAAAAACTTACCTTGGTAAGCTGGCATCGATACCATACTGGCCATTGAAACAAATATCTTCTGAACTGTAGTTATCTGAATTCCAATTTTTTCTTTAAATTACCGTTTGAATAATTTATATTATACTTGGACTTCCACTGTGCTTAGGGTCTTGTACCCGTGTTTCATTAAACTCACCTGCGCGTCAGTTGCTTATATAGGTGTCTCTTCGGAAGTAATATATATGTTCGAACGTGTTTTTATAATCAGTTTCGGTGGATGGCTCGATGACCTCATGTCTGTGACACTCATTTGGTTTCTCTAAGGCCGCTCTTTGGTCTAGTAACTGAACGTTACTGAAAGTGTTTCTTCCTTATTTGCCAGAGAAAACAAAGAGACAAATCACTTTGGAAAGCTTTCGATCATATCAGTATCCTGTAAACAGGTTAGGACTTCTCGGAAATGACCAATGAAATATATTTGGCACCTATTACATACTTCATTAATAACTATGGAAATATTTAATATATACATCAATTTGGGTTGTTCCTGTATTTTGGTATTTCCCAGGTAACAATTAATTTTAGGTTTCTTACGTTGCTGTTCCATTTCAATGGAGAAAAGGAAATAAAATTGGGAGTATTATAAACTGTTTTATTATGTTGCCGATACAAAAGTCAGGCTTTACAAATAGTTTGACGTGTCTTTTAACCAATATAGTGGACATTTGACTTAAGATTAACACCTTTGAATGCAAAAGTCACCCAATGTAAACACATTTTACATTGATAAGATAGCTATGTTTGACTGCTGGACATTCAGACGCAAAACCATCACAAAAGCCCTTTGTAAATGCAAGCAGGATGTTCTATAAAAGAAATGCTTCTGCATCCTAGTTCCGGCGAGACAGTCAAACATTTTATCTGACCAGTATTGTTCAATTATTTTCATGGTCTTCTGTCAATAAAAGTGAAGGTATGTCTTGATAATAGTTATCAGAAGGGCTACAATAGATGTAAACTGATGGAGTTGCAGCAAAAACCTATCACGATGGTGTGTTGCTTGTTGAAGATAAGTAAGTTGGGATTCTTGAGTTGTGGACATGGTACACTTTTCCACCATACCATACCATGCCAATCCACGTATATTTTACATTGCATTTGGCAGTATATTTTTAACATTAACTGCATAGAGTGTGGATTTTCGCGTGAAAATGAAGATTCTTGAGATCAGTTGATTTGATATAAGAAAAAAATATATATTGACAGCAATGAAGCTGCTGAAATTGCAAAAAAAAAAAAAAAGAAAGAAATCGAAATTGGAGATAGCTCATGCACAACGTTTTTTCCGACAGAATTTTTTCTCATTGGATTTAAAGGAAAAAGTACTGAAAACGCGGCCAAAATCCGTTTAAAGGGGATACTAAGCCCCCAAAATTCGCTCCCTATACTTTCAAGTCATGGGGATTATGAACATACTTTATGAAACTTGCTATGGAAATTCTTAAATCCGCCGAGCATTTGATTGTCAATACTCAGGAGGATCGCTTTTATATTTCGTGATTGGGATATTAAGTCTTCAAAAAAGACAAAATGTAGCATAAACAAACTTTTCTAAAGCATGTAAATATCACTTTGTTTTATACTTGAACTGGTGCGCAATAGTGCTTTTGTAAAGCTAAGAAACTTCATTCAGACGCGCAAGCACACGTGAATAATAGGTTTTGCCCTCGACATACACCGGCCATAATAAAGACCAGCCAGGCGCGGAAAGCAAAATTTCGTTTTCCATTAAAAACAATATACCAACTTCGCTTTCTTTAAGATGGTGGAATGCGGATTTCCCCCGAAGAACATTTTCAAACATTGTTCTGAATTAAGATGAGAAAAAACCATTATTTTTGCTCAGAACAGTGGACAACTTTATACCCGAAAGTATATCTCATAAATGACTGAAATATTCAGTTTCTATGATTCAAGAAATGTTGTAGAAAACAACTGAAAAGCAATCGAGTCATAGCCATAAGCATTTCCCACTTGAAATAGATGAATGACGAGGCAAAATATTTGGAAGTCCCGCCTTAATGCCAATTCTGAAAATGAAGCCTTCTCTTACCAGCTATTTAATACAAACTGTACTTGAAAACTTGCACCTGGACTTAAATCGCTTTTAACTTGAATATGTGACAAAGGAAATGAGAATATTTGAATGATAAAGGTAGACTGTTAAGCTCACTATGATATAATAACATCACTTTTCTTATTCTTTTTTATTGTTCTTTTTTTACCTCTTTTTTAAAAAATTCATTATTTAAAAAAATGTTCTGTCTTATTTCCATCCTAAGCATTCCTAATGATTAAAATCTCACCTTTATACAGGATCAAGCATTACAAACACATTCCCATCGTGTTAAAATCATCATGCTGCTTACCGGTTTAAAAATTCAGCTACCGGAGGGGTAATCTAATCCACCAACACTAGATTCTCCAAGTCTGAAATTTTTATGTCTGTATTCATATTGACAAATTTAAATGTAACTTATAATTCACACATTTCTATGGTTAACAGCGGCCACATTACAAATGCAGAAGAAGCTGTCATTATGTCAAAATGCATTATGAACATTTATCTAGACAAGAGTCACTTCCTTATTGATCACGTCTAACGCTTTATTATTGGTTGACTGGAAAGAAGTGCGCTCGTGTGTTGCACAGTGTGTGTGTGTGTGTGTGTGTGTGTGTGTGTTCATCAAATTAACATTGGTTCATAAAATACCCAGAATGATAAATCGAGGGATTAAAAAGAGAGATAGAGCACGCAATGAGTTTTCTGCCTATATTTGGCATTCTCATTGTACCCATGAAAAGATTGGGGGGGGGGATTAGTTACGATTTATTGAAAAATAGGAAAGCAAGACAGGCAAGTAGGTCTGTTTTATTATTATTCAACATATTCCAGAAAAAAATGTTTACAGACACACACAGTGATGAATAATGACATCATATGGATAATTTTCAAGTTTCTTTCTTATTTGTTGGAGAAAACCGAATGTGTCTACAGCCATCAGGTGCCCATGGTATCCGGCCCCTTTCATGGCCAGAGGGTGGACACAGGGGATATCCGTAATGCCGTTGGCGGCACTGGAGGTTGATGAGGTGTTGTGCGGCGTTGTGTGGCGACAAAGTCGTCTTTCTGAAAGCAGAAAATACGGACTCTACAGTCCATTGTGTCATTCAGTTTTAAACACATTCAAGTATCGAAACATGTGAAAGCAAGTTACTTGTGGCGGGTTATTTTTATTTTGTACATTTCTTTCGATGATTTTACAGACTGTTCTCGAAGTGAGCTTGGATATAATGAACTTGAAACACGAATTGGAAGTTGCTGAAATGTTTAAACATCCATTTTTTTTTTGGGGGGGGGGCAAAAGGTATTGCCTAAATGAACTTTTTTCAAGGCAACATAAAGTAAATTTACCGCAATCGGGAAAATCACGTGGGCCTTCGGCCTTAACTCATCATTATCATCACAATGGTTGTTTCTAATTCAAGTGTACAATCTTCAAATATCAAATACTTTCATGCTCTATGTAACAAGCAATAATCTAGAAATCACCATGTACAGTTAAGCCATTCCACGCCAGCTTCCAGAATATCTGTCTCTATGGATATCATGCGGGCTCTTTTCCGCTTTCTTTGATTGCTTTTGGTTGGACCAGGTGGGTAATCGCCACCCGTAATCGCCTTCTCTTAAGGCGTCGAAATAGAATCAAAATATATTGAATTTTTATAAAAGAGTATTTAGCTCCGGAGAAACGCAGAGTTTTTATCGTAGCGGACCTTTCCTTTTGGCCATTTCTACGACAGACTTTCTATTTGTTCCAATAGTTGATAAGAAGGCTTGGTTTCATTTATTGCTTTGTTTGGAGTAAATATTTTTGTCATTGCCTTAATGTAGATAAAATACAATTATCTTGAAATGCCTTACCCTGTCACCAATTCCTTTTCCGTTTTCTTTAGTGGCTGAACCTCTTTTCGTTTTTGATTCTGCATTAACAAGTGATATCAACACGACTTCAGCATTTCCATTGATCAAACAAGCATTGGGTGTTCAAAATTAAATTTTTTAGCAACAATAATGTTCAACCAAATGAAACATTTCAAATATTCGGAAACACAAATTTTATGTAATGTGCCAATAGGGGAGACCTGGGCTAGTTGGACCCCGGGGTAAGTTGGCCCCCCGTCAATTTATGAAAGAGTACCTTCGGGGTCAAACATTTGACTACATAATCTTGTAAAGTGACCATACACTACCCTCTACCAGGGTGGCAGATATTATAGGTACGTTTCCAATGGAAATGCGGGAAATGTGCCTATAATAGGGGCGGATCCAGAGATATTTTCTGACAGTCTTCCAAAAGTACCTTTGTTGATCCATCCATTATTTATGACAGAAAAAAAAATAGATACCCGTCAATGTAAACTTGAAAATCTTTAAAAGGTAAATGACAAGACTCGTTGCAAGGACAGCACCATTAAAATTTATTCCCTTAACTGGCTTAGGAATCAAACAAATCTTCAATAAAAGTTACTTATATACTGTAATTCAATGTAATATTTTGGAAAAGCTGATACTTTTCCTTAATGCTTAGACAATAGAGCACAACAAAAGATATACAGCTTGTAAAGGATTTGTTCAAAATAAAGTCTGTTGTTTTATTCGCGTTATTTTGGCCAATTAAGGATTAGAAAACTGATCCGAATTAAAGCTAGACAACGAACTTGAAGCCATAAAAGCACTTAACTCAACTACCTATGTTAACAAAGGCATTAACATATTTAAACTGGAAAAAGCCTGATCATTACAAAAATATTTCTCAGCAACGTCGTTGATCTAAAACCTTTTAAGCTTAACATTCTGTTGAACTTTTTGTTAACTTTGCAGCTGTTAACTTTGCAGCGTGCTCATTATAAATACACGGCAGTTTTTTGTCAAGATTCATGACCAACTTCATGAAATATTTGCACGTTCAGACACTTGTGCAGACAACTGTTTTTACATGGATGTTCCTAAAATGGATATCACGTTATAGTAACAAATATTACTAATTCCAATCAATTCTAAAATTCAAATAAGCATAAATAAATAAATAAATAAATAAATAAATAAATAAATAAATAAATTGCACTTCACCCGCTTTCAGTTTATCAACGTTCTGGTAGTCTTGATTGAAATAATATAAAACATTGGACAAGAAACTTTTATTGCTCAGTAGAAGGATCATTGTTGTCTTCATCACTAGATACTGCTTTTGTGTCTTTTTTCTGAGTCCTATAATGTCTTCGTGCTTTTTCCATCTTACTCTTATATTTTTTAAATCGAGTCCAAACTGGCTGTGAAGACGTATCGTCTTCATCTCTGCTGGTGCTACATGAGGCAGTGATATTTCCATTAGTGGAACAAAGAAGTCCATTTTCAGCACCATTACTGTTACTGCTATTATTATTATACTGTAAAACAGAACTGATCGCAGTAGAGTCCGAACCATTGGGAAGCTTGGGTTCAATTTTCTGTTCATTGTCCGTGAACATGGCTCTTTGGTTTTCTTCTGAATTCTCTTGTACTACATCAGTACTAAAATGGTTCTTTTCACACTTCTCCCCATTTGTCAAGTTTTTCTCGCCAATGTTAAAATTGCCATTTTTGAGAACCGGTGTGCTGGTCGTTGTTGGACCATTTTGCTCACCATCACTTGTCTCAGAATCTGAATCACTTAACAATACCCTAGCACGGAGTCTTTTCAGCCTACCTAAAGCTGTAGGCATTTCTCTCTGTTTAAATGCAATGTCTCTATTCGAGGGCCCCGAAAGAGCACTATCTGAGTCACTATCAGGCAAATGCAAAGTACTTTTTTTCTTTCCACAAGATGGTTGAACTTCAGATTCAGAAGAGTCTGAGTCAGTTTGGGTTAATCCCAGGGCATCACTCATGTTCGATTCCGATTTGGATCTCCTCTTTCTTCTTCTTTTCACAAGTTTATTACTCTGCTCTGGACTAGCTGTATACTTCACAATATTTGCCCAGTAATCTTTTCTTCTTTCAGCAATAAGTTCCGTAATTGTTCTTTTTCGAGAAGCTGCCTCATTTTCTTGATTTCTTCCTGTCCTCAACCTCTGTACTGCTTCTTCTGCAAACAACTCCCTCCCTGCTTCATTCAAAGCCTCATTCAGCCTATGCTGACTGTTACTGCTTTGTTCCCCTTCTACTTCATCCTCCCCTTCTCCTCCTCCTCCTCCGCCTGCTTCTCTCCTCACACTTTCCGCTATTACCCCAGCAAAAGCTTGAGTAAAGGGACTAAACCTCTCTTCATCAGAGTCAGCATCCACACCAGCATCAGCATCAAGTTCAGAGGGCTCGGAGTGCGATGACTGCACAAATGACTGAAAGGCGTCTAAGTCAGTTGAAGAGTTACTGTCCGATGACCAGCCCTCGAGTTCACGTTGGACAAGGGAATCAAAGAATGCCATCATGCGTGGGTCTTCTTCTACGGATTCGTTAGTGTAGTCGTGAGTCATGACTTGCCCACTCTGCAGCACGAGGTTAATGTACTCCTCATGGGAGTAAACAAGACGGTCCTCAAAGTTTTGCAGAGATGCGTCCTCTTCTCGTCTGGGAGCATTACCAATGGGAAATGGGCTCCAGGCCTGAAAGATTTTTCAATTTATATAACTGAATTTCTCAAAAATAAATTACACCAACATAAAAATGAACTATGGATTTTAATTTCACAAATATAGTAAACTAGACAAGTTACAATTGAATAGTTAAGTTCTATGCAGCTTTTTATCTTTTGGTTAAGGAAATTATTAAGTGAAAAGATTCCAATTCTGACGAATACATCAAGCATAGAAATCCTTCAACTAGCCTAAAAATCAGCCATAGGGCCCATATTTGACCCAAGTCTATAATATGAAATCATAGGTTTTTGTGGTAGTATATTACATAAAACAGGTTTACTTCAAATGATCCACAGGCTCTATGTAATACAGAAGTATGTTACCCACCTTAATAACTTTTTCTACTCCAGATGAGATGAGGAGGTGGTTATCTGGATTGAAACGTACTTGGTTGACAATTGACCTGTGTCCCTTTAATACCAAGTGTGCCTCACTGAGCCAAACCCCTGTAATCATTTATACATACATATATATGCACATTTCCATAATGTATCATCATCATTAACTACAGCAAACAAATGTTGAACTTGATCTGACCCTAAACTTTTTATGTTTAATAAGTTAAAATTATGTGTGTCAAAGGACTTTTTTTACATGACAGTTTTGCATTTATTAAAAAAAACTTCCATATACAACATACATTGTTAAATCCACTCTTGATTGTTTTGTGTTTTCTTCAATAGTCAGAGCAGAATTGAAATCATTTATGTATTCCACAGAAAACTTACTTTCGCTGCCCTTGTCAGGTATTCGCCAAATGTACAGACTAAAATCATCCGAGCCAGACACCAAATACTACAAATACAGAATGTAAATCTTTTTAAAAATCACTAATCATCTTAAATCATTTAGCATTAAACACCAGAAAACATATATCAATATCTACCATTAATACAATTTAACAAATAGTTATCCAATTTGCATCATGACAACTTGCTAACCACATAGTCTATTCCTTGTTGACATTTTCAACATATTATAAATACCGTACACCAAAAACATGCTGAAAACATCTACAGGTGAAAAGACTATAGATGTTTTTAGGATGTCTTAAATACATTTTATTATTTTAAAGCCATTTTAGGTCCTACCTGGTCTTGATCCCCAGCAAAGCAGCAACTCTTCATGGTACAAGAATTGTAATACCCTACATGATCAAACTGGCACAATGGGGCGGAATGCCGTACATCATAGAGCACTGGTGGAAGCCTCCGTCTGAGGGCAGTTAGACGGTCTCCGAGGCTGTTAAACCTCACACTCATGCAGCTCTGCTGGCTCCACTTCCCCCCATAATGCATTAAGCACCTGGAAATAAGTCGTCTTACATATATACTTAATATACTTATACTTGACATAAATTTATTTTGACATTTTCAAAATATTCACACACCTTGTATTCTGTGTTGACTGTGTAAACATGTTCTAGGACCGATTCCATTACTGTATGATACCTGTTCAGTGTACATGAAAGTCAAGTCTGATTCAGTTCAACTAAATCCATAGCAGTTCACTTGCATTAAGTAAATATTGGTCTGAAACAATGGACGTTTTTCTTGTTAACAGGAGCAATATTTCCAATAAACTGGACCTTGAAGTGTTACAGGATCTTTTCACAACACCACCTTCTGTACCGAGTACTTTTTGGACTTGGACAACCAATTAGTCAGTAGTAAATAAATATGACCATGTAGACAAAAAAACTACAGGCCTATAGGAACAGGATTACTTCAGCACATCTTAAAACAAACAAAAACTCATGAGTCAATATAGATCACAACTTTAGTATCTAACACTTAACAGTGGTCCATATTTCAATATATCTTACTCTTTAGGAACTCTGACATCCCACAGTCCGATCCCTTCTTTAGAATTGGCTGTGGCTATTAACCGGGGGTCTATAGGGTTATGCATCACGGCATGCATAGGGGTGGAACAGTCACATAGGCACAGGGAATCTAGAAGATTAATATTAAAGGAATAATAATAATAATAATAATAATGATAATAACAACTGCTATTTGAGAACTAATATCTTGAAATTGATAACATATATCGCAAAAAAACTAATTATTTCTAATGACAGCATTACATAAGGTCTATCAGTGTATAGTGATCATATTTTTGATCAATGAGAGTAAAATTTTTTGACTGTTTCATAAATTGGTGAATGTACAATATATAGAAATAAAATTTTCCTCACCATGGTCATTTAAAATTATTCAGCAAACATTTTAGCTTATGCTCATCTATATTCATATAACTGTTGTGACAACTATCATTACACATGTATGTCTAAAAATGGCCTTTAAATTGACAAAATATGGTGAATTTGAAATTTTTGGGTACAATTAATACCCTGTATACATCAGAGTGTGACCCTTTCATGATTTAAGCAATCCCAATATTTTGGTTAATATCATGATTCTGGGTTCTTCTCTGTTTTGGTTGCCTTACACATTCACACCAAAATTGTAAAATATTCCTCAAATGTGACACAAAAAAATGTTACTGTATGCCAAGCAACTCGAGAATGAATTACAACCCGGTCACAGACAATTAGGAGGAATGGATTCGAGTCCTTGTCATGCCATAATGATGGTCACTGGCTGCAAGACTTTTCCAAGTATTTTGAACGGTTCTATACACTCAAAAAGCTATAAGGAACTGACGAAGAGCGATTTAATCTGCAAAATGAACCAATTTTTTGGTCAACTTACCAGCTTCTGGAGGTTCCCTTATATCATACAACAGTATTCTGCCATCATCACAGGCACTGGCAAATACATTGTCATTGCTTGGGTCCACAGAGAGGCCGTACACTGCCTCCTGGTGCAGGAACACATCTACAAGTTCACCACTGGATCAAAAAAAAAAAAGATTTTTGTCTTAAAGTTTTCTTTATTATCTTTACATAAGAATATGAAATTGTACTGTAACTGAAACTGAAATATCGATCACTATAATTAAGCTTTCCTTTGCTTATTTAAAAAAGAAAAGAAAGAAAGAATAGGAAAATCAACAAATTAAAAATAAATAACTGCTGCAAAAACATATAATAAAATTTTATCTTCTGATTTTTAGTCTGATTTTAAGGCACACAATGAGCATTAAAAATGCTGAGATTAATTTTTTTTTGCTAACACTCAGTATGTGCCTCTCATAATAAAAGACAGAGTATTACACCATGCTTATTCCCCAACACTTGCAGAGCAACACAATAGCATGTCAGTGATTAATCTACTGTAAATCAGAAACATGTCTCACCTCTGGGCATCATGAACAATTACTGCTTGATCATTACCTGGGAACAGAAGCAGAAATGAGTGTTAATAATACGTCTTTAGTTGTAAAGATATTTCCAGATATAACTAATTAGTAACATATAATGATAATAATGTGATGTGGGTATTTACAATTGCCATGTAAAGTTCTATTACATGATTCTTAAAATCAAGGTCTTGTTATTAATTGTATCATTGCAATAGGGGGAAATGTCTAGTCTTATTGAAATGTTTATTTGGACCAGTAGATTTTAGGAATGTGGTGGTCTGAATGGCAAGTAATCTGAAAAAGGTTATTGCACAGACTGAATTAACACTGATACTTAAGCCACCATTTATCCCATACACTCACCACCAGAGAATATCTTTTTATTGCTGCTGTCAAATGCCAAGCAGAAAATGTTACTGTGATGTTCTCCCTTCATGGGAGCAGGGGTATAACCTGCTGACAGAGCCCTTTGGACATTCCACAACAGGACACGCTTGTCATCTCCACCTGGAAAAAATGTGTATATGGGTGTGAAATAATTTGTAATAACATGCAAAATAGTGTTATAATGCATATAAAGTTATATTCTTTAAATTAAACACCATAAAATCATTCACTCTAAATCTGCCAATAGCAAGATCAAATCTGTTGTTAAAAATGATGTAAATAAGAAAATGTGTATACCTGATTTATGTTTTACAACTTTTGTCTTTACAAAACTCATCTTATATAATGCCCTAACAAGTATCATATTCATTTTTTTTACTTGCTGATACTTGCGATGTCTACAAAAATGTAATCGTTTATCAAAACTAATATCTTTCAAGTTAGTCGTCTGCCTCACAATTTGGGGCATTGCAATGTTTACATAAATTTATTTGGACTTTGAAAAGTAAAAAGCTTTACTATCAAATAAAGGAAGGAAACCCAACATAAAAATGCATGCCACTGGGAAATTGGGCATAGGTATTGAATCTGCATCGCGGTTCCAAAAATAGTTAACAACAAGGCATATATATACGTCATGCATGCACCAAGCACATCGGCCAAGCCTCCAGGAAGACCTTGAATCAATAAATCATAAGTGGTCTAAATGCTGACAAATGCCCTGGTTTAATATACATGTATTGTTCGACCTAGGAACTTACCTGACGCGATATACTCCCCTGCGCCATTTGAGAACTCGATCGCATTCACGCAGCCGAAGTGAGCCTTCAGGTCCATTTGATACATATTTTGACTTCTCTCCATTTTCTCTCGCATCAGTCTACTGATGTTTTTGGTGTCTTCTTTGTAATGCTGGTGAAAAACGTAGGAAAGAGTGCCCTGGTTGAACGTATTTCTGCTCAACATCTTGGTTTATATCCTGTTATTATTATTATTGTCCGTATTCCGCAGCTGTAAGAATCTCGAAATGTCTCGCGGATTGTGTCAAGGTCATTGAGAGGGTGTGACATTTTCTTTTGGCGAAAAGGGGTGTCGAGCAAAAGGGTCGAATGTATTATCGTGCTTCATCAAACACCACTACAAATAATCAATTAAAATCAAGTGAACAGTTACTTCACATTTATTTATGTTATGATCCGACCAACTTTTCTAGTCTGTGTGAAAAACTCACGGATGTAATTCACAGGAAAATTGCATACATTATCACGGCCAATATCAGACAGATATAAAGATACCCTCTTAGCAGTTCTGGGATTTAGATTAATTCTTCAGCTTCATTGATGAACTGGACTGCACGGGTCACATTTTACTAATTTTAACAAGGCCAGTTTCGTGACTGATAACCATTCTACAAAGTGATTTAGGTATCCCACGTTTCAGTATTTACTTGTAAAACATAACTACGAAAATTTTAGTTCATTTTTTCATAGCATCTTTTGGGGTCTGTCATTAAAATAAAGTTATAAAAAAATTTTGGTGAAATATTGGTTGAGTGGTTGTTTGGATATTTAAGTTGTATTTAGACTGTAGAGATCTTATGCACTTTCAAGATAGTATTTGACGTTTCTCACTGTTCTTGCATTCTCCTCGCTCTAATACACACACACACTATCAGGAAAAATCCAACAGCAGGCAAAGTAAAATCAACCAGTTTATTCAAATGTTATATCCTCCCTGGCTAAATTACAATAACATTAAATTGACACAACATGTCTTGACATGTCCTATCATGTCTCAACAGTATACAAGACAAAGTCAGTAGATAATATCTATCTATCTATATATATATATCACTTTATCACATAGTTCATACACAGAATAGTTCTAGTGTAGAAGAATATTGGTTTAAACAATAATTAGGAACACAGTTCCTGGGTAAGGTTTTTTTAAAAGTTGTTATCACAAAATAAACGGTAAAATTCCTATTAAATAATCTGTACCAAAGGGGATGATACCAACTACACAGTTGCAGTCTCAGTTGTTTCCTTAATGGATTCACCTCAACAGCTTTTGAATGCTGACACCACAACTGGAATGTTCCTAATCATAACATAAGTGAGGTGCTGCACGAATCGGTGACAATGGTTTTGAGGAGTTATTTCTGTAACTCGTCAAACAGAATGCTTCTTTTCCCCCTTCCAAGTTTCAAAGACCTGATGGAATTGATCACAGTATTTTAATCTTATTTCTTAATTTTACAATCAATTAAAAATAATACTGATAACATTCTATTTCATTTCTAAAGATCCACTTTTCTTCATAGAAACTGAGACAGCAACTGTGTACTTGGTGCCTTTACAAGTTTTCTCATTTAAAATATGTGATAACCGACTTATTAGACAACTTATAAAAATTCAGCGAGAAAAAAAAAAAGATTCTATGAAATAGATATCTGACAAAACAATGACAGTTAATAAAACATTTTTATCTTTCAGGAAGAAGGCCTGTATTTTCCTTTAATTTGAAATAAAATAGTCTCCCTTCTGATTACTTACACAGAAATGTGAAAAAAACTTTCTAGAATAGACAACCATTGAATTTTCCACCAGGAATGGATGGACCTGTCAGCGAGATCATAACAATGAATACATTTCAGTCCTTTAATAGTATAGTTAAAGGTAACCTCCCCACTCTAACTGGGCCTTCTGGTAAAATTAAGACTTTTTTCTTAATGAAGTAATTGAATAATTGGCATATACAATACAAGAGTATACTATAGGAAGATAATATGATGCTCAACAAGCTTTTCTTGCATAAAACTCGTTTACATGTATGCCATGTCCAAATATGTTTGTTTTAACTGGAAAAAGTGTAAGAAAGTATGGCCACACTAGTAAACTGTTCTCCTTTTGATACTTTTTAGATAAGAAACTTATAAACTGTCATAAAATTAGCCAAAATTTGATACAGGTATCATAAAATACCATACAAATAAGGAAGAAAAGAAAAACACATGCAACTGTGATACATATGTACATTTGGTGATGACAACAATTAACATCTTCTGAAGAGCTCCTCAGTATTGCACCAATGTTTTTTTTTTACAAATTTCAGTGACAGAAAAAATCTGTTCAAAACTATGATCAGTAAGATCAGAAAGACCTTCACTCAATAAGTAAATAATCACTATTATCATTTTACTACTTGCTTCTCATCCCAAATTTTGTCAGTACAAGGGAAGACTTTTTAAGTGCTTCAAATTGGTTTAATAATATACAAAAATTATATTATATTATATTAGATCTTTGTACATATATCAAACAGCTTTATACAGTCTTACTACAGATCAGTCCTTACAACACTTGTGCTTTGCCTGACCCATGAAGATCACAACTACAGTCTACAAAAACTCCACAATAACTCTCCATATTCAGTTTGATTTCTAATCATTTAACTGCTCAATCTTTTCATAAACATTCTCCGTTCCCCTCCATAGCTGAGATATACCTCATTAAGTACCCATTTATAACCAAATGACTTAAAGTGACACAAATATCTAAATATGGTTACATAACAAATTGTCTTTTCATATTGTCAGTTGAACAAGCATTAAATTCAAAACCAGGAATCAACTGTTATCATTATCAAAATGTTTTCAGAAGCTGTAACAAACCTTTCTTATTCTTGGAATTAATGTTTATATCACCAATGTTATCATAGGAAAGAAAACTGTTACATGAAACGATATGAAGTATATGAGGTAACATGTTTTCCAAAAATACTGGTCTTAATATCAAAACAAATATACATACAGAAGTATATTAGCCTTGTTTCTTTTTTCTTTTTTTTTGCACCTTCACCGAGATTTCTAAATAAACTAAATTTATATTTGTACTACCTACATTCAAAGAAGTTGTTACAGCTGTGTTTACCATGTGTGAAGACTATGCAGTTTGAATTTTACTAACTTGTGATGAAAAACACCAATGTCAAGTCAGTTCATGATACAACTTTCCCCATGTCTAAGCAATCAACGTTTAAGTTACCCATTGCATTGTGCTAAGGGTGTACCTCCAGCTAACTTGAACTTGCTGCAGTTCAGAAAGGAAACTCTAGCTCCTAAGACCACAAGAAGTAACACCCTGTTATATTCAGGCACATTTCATGATGTAGATTTTCCATTTCAGTGTGCTGCCCTTAACAAGTATTACACACAAGTTACTGAACTTAACACAAGTGACGGAAAGCAAATGAAATCAAATAAAAAATACAAAAAATTAATCTCATTAAATACCAGGTTATATATGTTTGATCTGGCTCATTTGAAATACCAATATAGGGCCAATACACCTGCCAACCCATTTCTGAATCACCTTCTATTATCAGCAGACCTAGAAGATTTTCTTCCTCCTTTCCTTTTATTGTAGTAGCCATGCTGCATTGTCAATGGTGCTGTACAGTCTTCATGTTGTCCATCGACATCAATGTCTAACAAAGTTTTTTGGTGATGCATGGGTGGCGGTGAGCCTCCAGGGGAGAAACGTGACCTTGCATCTATATATGGTGAATTCACATACAAGGTCTCTGGATCCCTTGGAGTTGAAGAGCTACGCCCTGAGTAAGGCGAGCGATATTTTGGTCTATTTGGCCGATTTGAGCCAGATGGTTTAGGAACAATGTCTAGCTGATGAGGCCGTTCCGGATGAGGTTGCTGATGATGGGGAGGAGGAGGAGGAGGATTTGGATCTCTAGCTGCTGACCTTTGTCGTGGCAGTGGCATAGGTGGCCGTTTGTCATACTTGGATTCCTGAATTGAAAGTGGGGCTCGGTGGAGCTCCTTTGTACTAGAGACAAATGCTTCATTGTCATAAGTCATCCTCTTATTATTTGGAGGAGTTGATGATTCAGATGTAGTCGATTTTTTCCGTGAAGGGCTCATAGGTTTGCTGCTACTAGAAGTTTTGCTTTTTTCCTCAAATTTCACAACCATTGACTGGGGAGTAACTGGTGTACCGCGAGGCGTTTCATAGTTTGATGAGTATGAAGAACTTGTGTCTGAGGCCTGACGCTGATATAAAGAAACAAGATTGGGGTCTGCTTCATCTGACAGTTTCCGAGGAGAAGGAGAAGGGGTGGTGGATGACGCGGGACTATTGACTCCATTGATCTGATCTACCAAGTTATTGTTACTACCTCTCCCATTTGTGGTGGCAGTTTCCTCAAAACGAATAGGGACATCAAAATTCATGGCAGGCCGGTACTTGGTCTGCACTCCACTCCATGTATGAAAAGGATACCCTGACCTGCTCTGATGCTCATATGCATTAACATAGAAGTGTTCCTCATCATCCTGATCAACAAAGGAGGGCTCGATAAAGGAATCCCTCACAGCTGCCAAATAAGCATCCCGCCTTTGACCGATAAAAGAATCCCGTTTTCGCGGCACACTGTCCTCATCACTGGTGTGACTTAGAGTAGGATGTATTGCAGTCGTATTTGAAATCCTGATATCAAATCCTGCTGCCACTGAGCCTAACATGGCAGCAATATTGACCAAGACCTGGTCTCTCTTTTTCCGAGTGAAAAAACGTTTCAAACTAGACGTTGAGGATGTTGGTGTTGCAGAGGTATTGATGGTAGAGTGTGGCATGGTGGAGGCAGTGATGGTGGTATCCATGCTGGAAGGGAAGTTGATAGACCGAGATTTTGTCTCCCCTAGAGTGTCTGGCCATTCATCATCTTCATAGTCTGCAAAAAAAGAGAGCAGATTACATTACATATTTTATACAATTCCAAGTAACCATTCACAATTCCACCTGCACAACATGAAACTGACCTATACAGCATTTGCTGTAAATGCCAAGCAATTCATTTCAAACACTTCACTTGGCAAAATCATTCATAATTTTTTTTTATTTTTTGCAATATTAATATACCACAGACCAGTATAGAAGACAGCGTCATTTAAGGCTGGTGTATAAAATTTGTTTTGCTTAGAAAAAAATCACTGTGCATTGGATAATGATAATCTGTTGTACAAAAAAGAAAAAAAAATGCCAACAGATTCACAGACACAGCACACAGGAAACATAAAGCAGAGGTCCCTGAGCTAGCGACCAGTGAAGTTTGGTGTTCCCCATAATTTTTTTTTTTTTTTTTGCAAAAGCATAACCTGGTCACAGATGATAACAAGAATTTTTGAGAATTTTTTTCTCAAAGCACATACAGGTATGCCAAACAACATCAGACTGATAGAAAAACAGGAATCGAGTTTCACAAGTATCCTAACAGAGAAGAAATTTAATTACCTTCATTTTTTAAGTGTCTCATTCAAGTCTCATTCAAGACGTTCTGCGTTAGTTAGTTTATGTCAAGCTACAAGATCTTTCTGCGAGACTGGTGTTAGAAAGTCAATGAGAACTACACAGTAAAGTAAGTAGTACAATTCAACCAGAACAAGTTGTATTAGAAAGTGCAGAAAGCACACAGCTAGTATCAAAGTTGCACATGTTATAACACTACAAACAGCATCTACCATTCATCTATGCATTACATAGTCTACAGCCAAGCACATATGCTCATACTATCACTATAATATCTCTCTTGGAACAATGCATTTTGCATTATACATAAAACACACACACAGAGAGAGTCTAAATGCAGATATACTAACCAAGCTCCTGAAGAGCTCCTCCATACGAAAATGGACCAAGTTGACGTAGAGTCTTCTCCAGACTCGGGGCACTCTTAGACCACTGACCATTGGAGAATATCCAGGAGTGCCGATGATGCCGATCTCTTTGCACAGTGCTTGGTCCCCAAGTTTTACCTTTCACTCCATCTGCTGGGTCTAGACATGCATAAAACAGGCAAGGGGTAAATATCGAGCTTGTCATTAACTCTAACATGGGATGCTTTTGAGTTGACTGCGGGACAAAGTGACATTCAAGTGAAATGAAAGATGCAGTTGTTTTTTTTTACCACTCTTATCAATTCAGGGAAGAGTTGGATTGTACTAAAACAATCCTGAAAAGTCTCAATTTAACATAAAGTCCAATGAATCTGGCCATTTCTACTTGTATATCATTTTTCTTCCTGGTAAAAATGGTAGGATAAAAATGACCAGGAGTTTTTTCTAAATGATATTATACTGATAGACTAGTATGAAACAATGTGGAAATGAAATGACATGCAGGCATGCTTGATGTGTAATTTAGAACTGCAAAGATCATGCTGGGAGTTAATAAAATCATAGAGGAAAAATCCTGAAAGCTGAATTGGTAAGTGATGCTGCACACTCATGTCAAATGCACCGATTCAAAAAGATCTAATAATCAGCCCAAGAGCTACTCTCTTCATCATAAAGTGCTAAACCTCTGAACTAGTCTTTCATCAGACACCTGTCTAATACCTGTAACTCTCATGACAAATTTGAAACCAATTAAAAAGCCACAACCTCTCACACACCACCATGATTATTATTACTATTAGCTAGCATTTAAATTGCTATCCAACTATAAACTTCCACAATGAAATCTGAGGTGGGTTACTGATTTAAGTATGAGAGGTATCACTGATTAGTTGCTCACTAGTGATCAATTTTTTCCTGACATTCTGAATCATTTAATCAGTTGCTAATCAAGTGACTGGTGGAATTGATTAATGGAGAAAAATGAGTGCCTAGCTTTAGTACTTTTCTGATGATTTCCAAAATAATTTCTATAACATGAGAATTGTATCACCGACATGCTTTTCTCTCAAATATAAAGCAACCACACTGAAAAAAATTTTTATCTGTGAGATCCTGACCCCCTGACTGGACTTGACAACTTAAAGCCACTAAATGCAGGGAAAAATAAATCTAAAAGCCGCTTTGATTCAAATAAACATCTTCTGGAGACAAAACATTTTAGGTTCAAGATTCATTTCCACTGCAAAATAGCACAATGATGCTTTCAATTTTGATTCGAAGCTTTGATTGGGATAACAATAAAAAAATGAAAGTCACAAAGGGACATTATTAAAATAAGCTAAAAATTCAGCCTTGGTGGCATTTGATAAAAGCAGGGTTGATTTGGGGAAAACAATGAATAGCAGATAACAAAAATTTATCCAAAATGGACATAAAACATTTACAAAAAGTAGGTCATAAAATAAAGCTGTGAAAATATAATTCTCTTGGCAAATCCTGCCAAGTATTACAGCCTACCTTAAGATTTATGCACTTGTAACGTGTATCGAACTAAAATCTGAATGATCTAAACACATTACTTACATTTTAAACAACCAAGAAAAATCATTATGCGAATGTGTAAATCCATGTTTGCTGACATATATATGTGCATGTTTTTTTTAGAAAGAGTGCACATGTGCTGAACCTGCTGTGTACTTACATGCTATTGCTCTTAACCTTGGTGGAAAGACCGGAGACTGCGGTGGGCTGTCTGGACTGGAGGGTTTTCTTGAGGGAGTTTCCTGCTGGACAGTGATATTGTGCCTGAAGTCTGCACAAACAGAAATTCGTTATAAGTAGTTTCTTTTTGTTTGCATATTGCAGTACTTGACTTTTGACTAGATTTGGATTTCTGTATTGATTGAATTAGGAATTTATTACATGTAATTGTTATCCGTATCTACATTTTCATGACATCATTCTAGCATATAAACATACAATAGTCAGAACAAACACATTAAAAGAACATATTTACTGACATTGGTACAATTTTATTGGTAAAAATGTCAAGTCAATTTATCTGTTATCAAAACTAGAACCCTTAATATTATATATAAAAGGCATTGTATTCATTCTTTCTCTATACATATTAAATATATTGACCACCATTTGTACTTTGGGAATTATTATAAAACACATCCTTCGGATAAATGTTGGCAAAGAAATAATAACTCTTTTACAAGAAGATGTTTTACCCTTAGGTGTTTAGCAACAAAACTTTACCTGAGGGCTCACTAATCTGTCCGTGTTTTAATTGCTTGAGCCTCTTCTTGTTAAATTTCCCTTTCCTTTTCTTGGGTGTGGGTTTGCTCATCACTTGTTGCAGAATCATGACATTGAGTTCCCGTTCCAGCAGGTCAATCTCACGCTCTGCCAGCTCTTGCTCACGTTTCCTTAGAAACTCCTCCTGAAGTTTTTGTTGTAGTGCTGCTTTGGTGAGCTCTTCTTCTCTAGATCGAAGTTCCTGAGGAAAAAAAAAAGGTTTATATAACTATGTTCCTGGAACCACACACGCATAAAATTTCACAATCAATATTTTTTCTCTCTCCACGTCTCTCTTCTTAAAGAGCTAGTCTTTTTTTTTTTTAATATTGATTTTGTTTAGAGTTACTTGCTCAATAATGTTTCTTTCTTACTCGTAATTTCCTCAAACAATCTTTAAAGAAATCCAAATCTAGTCAGAAACAAGTACTGCAATATGCACTGGTCATGAGAGTTTATGAGGAACACACTGGGCACAATTACCTTTTCTTTTGATCTTAGTTCATCAAACATTTCCTGAATTTCTACTTTCCAGTCTTCCTGAAGTAAGTGGAAGGAGTCTTGAGGTTGGTCCAGCCAGTCTGAGTCCTGGATATCCACTAATTCTTCAAGGATATCTTGGAATGTTGGTCGAAAGTGAGGGTCCGGGTGCCAGCAGTCTGAAAAGTGCGTTACTCACAGTTAAATTTTAATATGTGATTAGAGTTGACATTAAAATCTGTCTACTTCCCACTTTAACATTGTAAAAGACATTTTACCAATGTTCTTTAAATAGGAATGTCCATAACAGGGAAACTAAGCTGAAATCATCATTCACCAATTAATAATTTTCAGTGTTATTCCATTCAATAAATATAAATTTACTTAGAGAGAAAATGAGAAAGATGTGTATCTGACCAGACAGAGGACATTCATTGAGCGATCAGCAAGATCTAATTTGTCTTTTTATAAATAAGATGCATTACACTGAAAAAAAAAAAAAAAAAAAAAAAGATAACAAAACCATCTATATTTTATCATTACCTTCTAGTAGCTTGCTAAAAGGCACAGGACATGTGGATGGAATTGGTAAAGTGAGTTTGTTCACAGCCACACCATAAGCCACTGCCAGAGTGTCTATTCCTTTGTAAGGCACTTCTCCTGTCAGAAGCTCCCATAGTAATACACCATAACTGAAAATGTAGAAAACACTTTTAGCATACACTGATTTTTTGTCAATTTTTTGCTTTCGTAATGACTTCATGGACACCATAATAATGATGACATTATGCCACCCATAGTTTTGCTCATGTGTTTAGTGTTTAGATGGAAAACTTTTAAACGTATCCCACTTGTAAATTTACCCATCAATATTCTAAACAGCATTTAGGGTAAAATAAAAATAGCATCAGTATACAGTAAAAGTATGTAGCTTTATTAATAAAAGGTAGAATACCCCCTCCCAACATGTCCCTACTCAAAACTGAACCAACCTTTACATGACCATGAAATAAGATATCAAATTTTCATTTCAGCCACTGACAGAATAACAAAAACAAAGAATCAGGGAATATACAATGCTTTTTGGTTAATTTCTTGATTTGTACAAGGTGTANGTCTGCGGACCAAATACCACGGAATGGCCCTGTACAGAAACCAGTGGCACATGATAAACTGACAGCTGATTTTTTTTTCTAATTTTCTTTTATTTATTATCTATTTTTGTTTGTTTTCTTATCATGCAAGTGTGTGGTATTGCCCCCTAGACACTACTAAAATAATTTTTAACTTGATGCCTCAGATTAGTTCTATTTTGCGTTCAGATGGCAAGAAGCCTTTGACTGGTTGACCTTTATAAAAGAATGTTTGCTTTAAGAAAAGGGTTTAAGATGGCTTAAAGATATACAGTTTGCCACTTTTCTTCTGGCATTTTAACATGAACTTAAATGGCTCCAAAGTCCTGAATATCATGGCAGGTAAGGGGATCTTGTTAAGAAGAGGAGGGCTGCAGGAAAAATAGGTTTAAATGATTATGACATGATTAGTTCTAGCATTTATAAAATGCATCGAAAAACAAATCACTTCTCAAATTTTTCTTAGCAAGTTCTAAACTAGTAGCATAACACAGGGTCTGCTCTTCAAATAGTTTTGTCTACAATACACATGCAAAAGGTACTAAACTGACACACAAGAGGTAAACCAAATAAGTGTCAATGTGTTGCTATCTATAGACATAGTGTTAGACAGCTTGGAGATATATGACCTCAAACAACATAAATAAATTTCAAAAAAAGGACAGCAACACTGGTCATCATTAATGTCCTTTTCGGTGTCAGTGACATCTAGTAGACAGCACCGGTGACATAATTTCCCTTCAAGCTGGACATAGATCCTAATCAGATATTAACATGACAATCCCTGGTGCCATGACCCATAATAAATTTCTCTTGCTGCTTAGAGCAGGTCACACTGCGTAGGCAGATAACAAAGATAGGGCCATTGTGGTGAACCATGTTCAGATGAATTTTATGCTGCCGCCAGATAGTCCATAGCTGTCTCAAAGGGTCATAAAATTGTCTAGGCACGCTTTTCACATGTATATGAAACAGTTAAAGAGTCATTATCAATAATACCTCATGCTGTACAATTTTTTTCCAATTCATCAGTTTTTCATAAGTTGACACAATTCATTATGTTGCAGCCTACCAGTTCTATGTTGGTAGCTGTTGCTTCTTTTTTCGTATTTACCATTTTTGTGAAATAACTGCTTGTACTTACTGACACAGACATTTTTTTCTGAGCTAATCAGTCTATGAAAAGATTTGTTATTTGCACGTCTAACCAATACAATGAAGTCTGTGGTGAACAAAATGACAGTAACCTTTTTTTATATCAAATATGGTAGATGTATATTGCTTATCATTCAGCTTCAAGGTATGTAAGGTGGACCTAACCTGAAGGCAAGTTTATCCAGGCTAGTAGATCCATCAACCTGCCCCACTATTTACATTATGAAAATGCATTAAATATATATGATGGAACAGGGCCTGGAGAAGCCCGAACTTAGCGTGAAAACAACCATATAAATGAACATTTATGTTAAAACAAAGGTTAACACGTTGGGATAAAGTTATACACTTTCAGCCTGAAGCCCATACCTCAGCTGAAGAACATATCAAGGTCATATTTTCCACACGTTTCAATACAAACACACTCCAGGCTCACTTGCGGATACACATTTTCTTAACCATTTTTTTTTCTTTTTTTTTTCTTTCTTTCTTTCTTTTTTCTTTTTCTTTTTTTTTTTTTTTTGCTGAATCAGCTATAAATTTGTCAGAAAAAAATCTTATATCAAGAATTTCCCTCAATCATATCAGAATGTGTTGTGCAAATTGGGTAAAAACCACTATGCAGGAGTGAGTCCAAACAGTTAGGGGCACAATAAATAAATGAGGGGGCAAGAGTGTCAGACTTTAGCAAGAGTTAAACCGAGTGTCGGACTTTACATAATAAAGTTTAATTACCTCCAAACATCACTAGCTTTTGAAAATGTGGATGACTTTATGACTTCAGGTGCCATCCAGGCATATGTCCCGGCAGCACTCATCCTAGTTGTCTTGTATACTTCCCTGGCTAACCCAAAGTCTGTTATAAGAAGTGTCTTCTTTTCCAAGTCATTATTTTCAATAGGCTCTTTGAGTAGAACTGAAATTATAAAAGATGAAATCATCAGTTAACCCCAATAACATTTTTTTCATAATTCATTCTATTTATATTAAATTGCACTGTTTCACAGTCAATGACCACATAAAGCATAAATATTACATGGACAATATTTACAGAAAACAGCAATTTCAAAGTACGATAACTTCTGAACCTATTCAAACACCCAGCTTTTTTCTAACATTTTACTTTTTCAAGATATACTATTTTCAGACAATGACAACTATGTCTTTTCTGACATGAGGTGAACTAACTTTTGAATCAATATTTTTTACAAATTGTTAACAATTTTTTATTGGGGGGGAGGGAAGAATAATTATTGGTTTGACTTTATTGAGTAATTATTGCATGCTAAATGATCCTGATGGTTTGATATTAATATATATAATATTTCCTGAAAATGAAACATTGCAGAAGAAACTTGTGTATTTTCTGGACCAACACTAATTACTATCTAGTTCATATTAACTAATGTACCATGGCTTATTATTGCTTCCATCTAAGTATCATTTTGCCTTAAACATACTAAAACTATAACTTCTTTAAAAGGGCATCTACTGCTTATTTACTACAAACATACAAATTGGACAATTCTATAAAGATTAAATGATTTCATATCTGGAAATTAATAACCCATAAACGATATAGTATGTGGTAGTTTTGTTTCTTATTTCATTCCCCCCCCCCCTTTTTTTTTAAAGATTTAAGGAACAAAAGTGAGCTATTAAAAGACAAGGAGGATCAACTGACTCAACAGCAGACACCTGTTTAGGCCTGACTTTAAAAGCTTCAAACTTTACAAACAACTTCATATATTTTATGTCTACTTCCTCAATCCACCCAACAATTCCCAATGCAACTGAGGGTCAACTGCTTGCATTCTAATCAACTTCCCTGTAGAAAACAATGATGACAACAGGCCTGAGGGGTGTTCCCCAACACTGCTGTGTGTTAATTTATTCAAAGCACCTGTGGTATTTCCTTGTACAGCATAAACAGCTGTTGACTGGACTTTTTATTATTTGTGATTGCTCAAGGTTGGAGGCTACTGATCATATATACCAAACGGTGTGCCTGTAGAAAAGATTTTTGTCATTTCTATGGTCAGAAACAAGGCCAAAATTTCAGTTGGTATAATCAATTCATCATGATCCTCAAATTGTATCATTATGAGAAATTTATCTAGTCATCAGATTTTCAGAAATTCAGTATTATCAAATATATTATGCTTCATATTTCCTTCAAAAGAATTCTTTGGTCAAGTTTTGTTTAATTAGAAAACATACAGGCAATAGATAAGGCAGATATTACGAATCTGAAATGCTCATGGTCAAATAATGGCTTATATATATTTATGTAAGTTCAATTACTTGCATTTTTAAAACAATTTCTTTAAACAAACCAGTCTCCACAATGAGAAGACAGGCAGGTTAAATGGAGAACAACGTAACTCCCCAGTGCCAATCTCCCATCTTAAACCTTCTACTTGGACCACCAATAATAAATAGTCTAAAAACATTTTAGTGAAAACAGAGTAAAATGCCGCCCGAGTCTAACCCAAGTAGCCACCGGAAGCAATCAGTCCTCCTTTACAAGACATCTTCAACCACTTCCTTCCTATGATATAAGCCATAAGATGGCATCAAGGTGATGGGTGTAGTATTCTCTATGGACCCTGTTACTGACACTGCCTGTTACTGACACTATCACATGATACCTGACAAGTGCACACCTGGCTTAATGTTGCTTTAAAATAATATTGACAGGAGAGGACGAGGGGGTTAAGCTTTTATTGCTTCCATGCTTTTTTAAATGGTGGCAATCATTAACACAGAGTAAAATGATAGGGCTGATGCAGGCATCCTGCACCGTTTATGATGTACCTGAAACTTGAATATTTCTGGCTGATGCAAAACAGTTGGATTACACCTTTGAGAAAATGTTTTACTATTCTTATGACAAGTTTACACAAATAAGCCATTCTGGATAGTAAATAAAACTTCTGCAAAGTTTAGCTATGTTCTGAGGCAAATTTTATTTTCTCATTGTCTGATAGCAATCAATATCAATATCTTTTATGATTATCCTGAAGGCAGCTCACGGTTGAATTATTCATTGAATCAACAGATAACATAGCCACTATTAGGAAAGAAGAAAGGCTTTAGGCTTACACTGTATCAATATTAAATGAAAAGGGGNTGTATCAATATTAAATGAAAGGGGGTCAACTAAGTTTGCAGACGTGCTATTTAACAAAAATGAACTATTAACTAAGGCAGAGTGCAGTAAAACAGGTTTTGGGTGTCTCACACACTGCACTGTATACATTCTCAGATGAAAAAATTTGATTCCAAGACACAACTATATGTACATACTGAAAAAATGAAATTCTAATTAATTAAAAATCTTGTTATCTGGAAAAAAAAAAAAAAAAAAAAAAAAAAATCCCATCCCATGTTTTTTTTTCATCCTTATACACAATACACTAATGTGATAACAAACAAATAAAAAACACTTTATCTGCATACCTGACATGCACACTCTCATGTAATACCGTCAACGAACCATATTACATATTTTAGTCTATTCAATTGGTATTTAGGTCAAACTAAAAACCATCATTAGCCTTGGGCTATAGTAAGAGGACTAATGTAGGAGATTATCCTTGATGGAGGAGATGGCATGAGGTGAGATGCACACAGATTACCCCCTATGAATGCACTTAGAGATGACCCCAACTTATTAATGGTGATTTTCTTAGAAATGGGGAATATGGATTTTATCTTTTCCGCAACCCTTCTTATCTATTTCTAATGCATAATATTCCAATCAAGCTTCGTGTCTGTCTATATTCTAGTATATAATAGTCCAGTGTATGAGGGGGGAGGGGCACTGCCAGCACTGCAAAGGGCAACAGAGGTAGATCTTTAGTGTTTTTTCCCTAATAAAATCAAACCTTTTATCTTAAAATGGCATTAATTCCAGATTCTAATTTTCTTGTCTAACTACCAAGGTTCCTGCTACCCAGCCCAGCCCCATCCCAATCTCCCAGATAACTCTGTAAGCCAGGTTTGTGACTTCACTTCACAGAGGCAGTTCAGGTACATCAACACTTCAAAGCCAGTATGTACGCAATAGGCAGGCCTCTATTGTCCTTCCCATCCCTTCTCTGTTCACCGAAACACCTCCCTTCTCAGTTCACCGAAACAGCTTAGTATAACATTTCACACTGAATCAGTAGAGAGGCGCAATATTCATCAATAACCAACCAACCAACCAACCACGACTATTTCTATCTTAGTCACATGCCTTGGTCACAATATCAGACAATTTAAGCAAAACCTGGAATGCGTGGAATGCAAAACAAAAAGAGATTGACAAAAGTGCTGGTTGTTGTTTTGTCATAATATAAAGGAAGGTAAAAAATGTTCGCAGTCTACACCTTGCAGTGCATTACTTCATGATCGGTCTCTATAATGTAGGCCTGATGTACTCCCAGGATCCTCAGGTTAAAAATGGATTTTGAAAGAAAACAAAATTGTGGATCTATATTTGTTACAGTAAAAAAACATTTCCTAATAAATAATTTGTTCATTATTATAATTAACAAGAGATAAAAACATCAAATGTCTATTTCAAGGACACAGCTCCAAACTCAAATGCGACATACAAAATACAATGTGCAAACAAAGGTGGCCCACACCAACGGATCAAAGTAATAAAAACAAAAACAATGGTGCAGTCATTAGTTGTTTATCTAAGAAGGATATTCCACCCTAATTGACCTAATCATTTTCAGTGGGAGGTAAGATAAAACTGAGCCATAATAACACTCAGCCGCTGCATAAATGGGTTACAGTTACTTCTATGTTAAATATAGCCGTTTTCACCTGCAACAGACTTACAAAACAGCCTAGCTTTTCTTCTTCCATGATTATATCTCAAGATATGTCCCATTTTAGAGCATTTTCTTTTAATTCGAGTGTTCTACTTTCGATATCAAGTTTCCACACTCAACAAAAACCCCATTCTCTTGTCTGTTTTTCTTATTTTTTCTACCTTTTATTTGCCCAAGTGGTGATTCCCCTTTGAATAATTTATTGAAACCAACTGCACAATTACCACATGGAAAGGTTTATAATATTTTCTTTACCTACCACATTTTACTAACTGGTCTTTACATTAACAAAGATTACTCGGGGTAAGCTTTGTTTGTTCAACCATTTACAAGACTTATGTGTCTTCTAACCCTCCAAGTGTAACCAAGCATCAATCTGTCTTTTCTTAATCTATGTGGTTCCATAAAACTTAAATATGATGGTTACCCTGAATAGGAATGCCTCTTACATTTGTCCCACTATGAGGTAAAAAATACTCATTCTTGGGTCATTTTTAGATACAGATCTAAAACATTTTTATACAGTAAATTGGGTGACATTTAAATAACAAGATAAAGCAAGTGATGTTTTTTCCTTTAAAACTGTACTATAAATTTATCTGCCTTACAAAAAATTTGAGGATATTTTCGATAGTTGTGAAAGTTAATACTTTTAATCTAGATCTCATCATCTCCTACTTTTGTAATACAAACTCCCAAGTGTATTTATAGATAACAGGTCAAATGGGATTGAATTGGTGAAAAGGTGTCTAACTTCTAGCTCAATAGGACACAGTAAGTACCATTCCTACAACTTTGTGATCAGCAGAGTATCATACCATATATTAATCCCAATGTAATATCATTCATCACATATGTCAAGTAGGGCTGGTAAAACATACAGGGGGCAGCCTACGTGTACACCATACATCCCCAGTACAATCAGTCCTTTGTACTTGGCATAAATCTATCTAAGGTAAGTGTGCCAAGAAACAGGTGATATTAGTTTGTCTGCATGCCAGCACATACTGGGACCTTCACTGAAAACAGCACAGGTTCATATTCAGGATCCTACCATACAACAGGCCTCTCTGCTATGCCTGGC